ACCGCGCGGGTACAGTGCATCCCTCAGGGGCCGGCTCGTGGGGGAGGGGAGACTATCCACGCCTCCGCCCCGCCTTCCCGGAGCCCCAGTTGCCCCTAGCCTGTGAGCCGGACCCTGTCCCCACTAGCGCGCGCAGGTCCCCGTCCCCACCTGCGCGCACGCCCCCTGCCCCTGACCCCACCCTCGCCCTGTGAGTGGGCACCTGGGCACGTGTCCCCCACTGCGCACACCTTCCCCTGGTCTCACCTGCGCACACCTCGGCCCCTCACCTGCGACCACCTTCCCCTGGCCTCACCTGCGCACGCGCCCCTTAGCCGGCTCGCGCTGCTCCTCGCCGCCTACCCTCTAGCCAGGGGCCGGAGTCACCAGCAGGGCAGGGGTGCCCGCCCCCGGATGACGTCAGCGATTGCCCGCCAATCGGAGGCGAACCCCGGACGCCCGTCGGTCCCGCGCCCCGCGATTGGCCGAGACGCCTGAGCTGACTCCGGGCCCACCGCGCCCGCCACTCGGCAGCGGCCAGACTCGAGATTGACGGCCCAGGCCCCGCCCCGCCGCCCCGCCGCCCCTCCCCGGCCCCCGCCAGTGAGCGCAGCTTCCCGCGCTTGGTCTGGAACCGCTAGGACCAGCCGGGTGTGGGGCGGGGCGGGGAGGCCACGTGGGCCGCGCGGAGAACGTGCCAGGCTCATCACCTGGATGATCGTGCCTCAGTTTCCTCCTCGGCAAATGGGGCTTCAGCGGCTCGCGACGCACATTGATGGAGCGTATGTTCAGGCGCCGGTGCACCGCAAGGAGCGAAATAGACACAGCCGCTGCTCCTAGGGCTTATGTCCCGGGGCGAAGAGGATCCTCCGCAAACGATCAGGTAAACACATGGATGTCAGGGAAGTCTCTCTGCTGGGAGACCGCCAAAGTGACCCGAGATGGAGTCCAGGTGGTCTGCTTATTAGGGGGCACACCCGTGCTAGGACGGGAGGGGAGGGAGCAGCAGAACTGGGCAAAGGAAGAAGCTGAGCCACAGTGCGAGCCGGACGTACGGGCCACGTTGGGAGGGCATGACCTGGGGCGAGGCAGACCTGGAGGTGGGGGCAGCTGAAGGTGTCTGCTGACCCCACACCCAACAGCTCGGGTAACAGACCTTACTTACGAGCAGAGCGATCTAGTAGTTACCACGTCTCTGTGGCCCTCAGAGATACATCATGTTTTATTTTTAACCTGCACCTTTTTGTTTTGAAAAATGTTCAGCATACAAACAAGTTGAACGTAAAGTGAACACGCAGATTCCTGGATTCACCAGGGGTGAGCAGGTGGCCATGTTTCATGTCTCTCTTTATATATGTGTATTTTTCTTTTTTCTCCCCACTCAGTCCCCACCGTTAGCTGCAGATACCATGATACCCCCCTCCCAAATACTTCGGTATCCAACTCTGTGAGAACGAGAACTTTCTCCTATATTACCAAAATACAGTGACCACATCAGTTCAATGCTATTATCTATTCTCCATCTCCAGTTTCCCCCGGTTGTCCCAATAATGCCCTTTACAGCCCTTTTGTTATTGTTGTTTTGTTTTGCTTTTTTGAGACGGGGTCTCTGTCACACAGACTGGAGTGTAGTGGCACGATCGATCGCAGCTCACTGCAGCCTTGAACTGCTGGGCTCAAGCGATTCTCTTCCCTCACCCTCCTGAGTAGCTGGGACTACAGGAGCACACTTTCTTTTTTTTGGTAAAGACGTGGGTCTCACTATGTTACCCAAGCTGGTCTCGAACTCCTGGGCTCAAGCGATCCACCCATCTTGGCCTCCCACAATCCTGGGACAACAGGTGTGAAGCCCTGCCCTACAGTCCTTTTTTAAACCCCAGGATCTAATCAGGGAGCCACACTGTGCATTCAGGCTATGCACTTTTTTTGGCAGGATAATATACTAGAGCATGTTTTATCTTGTCAGAAGGCTGTCAACCTGAAATAACCAAACGGGTCAGAATTTAGCTTAAAGAGAGTTTATTTAAGTGTATAAAGTTTGAGAACAGGCTGCCTGGGAAGCACAGATTTTAAAGAATGGAAATCAGTGTTTCAAAGTGTAGATGTTTGGGATCATTTATGTAGACAAATTTTAGGGAAGTTTAACAGAATTTTAACTTTTTTATGCATAAAGTTATAATCTGACAAATTGAGGTGGTCTTTTTTGGAGAGAAGGTATATTTAACATTTTACACTGAAGATGTAGGAGTCTGGTCTGAGTTAAGTATGGGATAATAAGAGACAATATAATAAAGATCAGTAATTAAAAGGGGAGGAGGCCTGGTCTGTGGTCTCTCCTAGTCATTTATAAAACATAAATGATAAAGAAAAACATTAGTCTCTAATCTAAAAGACAAAATTACAAACATGCTACGTGACTCAGTTTCTAGGACTTCCCTCTTGACATAATAAATTTATTTATTTTTATTTATTTAAAGACAAGATCTTGCTCTGTTGCCCAGGGTGACATAATAAATTTCGAGAGTCCTAAACTTTTCTAAGACAACACATCACTGTGCTCCATGATTGATAGTGGGGTTCAGTGTTTACTGCCAGAAGTCTCCATTTTTCCTTTTGTTATTTATGAGTAATTGGAGCAGTGATACTTTGAGACTGTAAATATGCTATTCCCAAATTACCTTTCACCCTAGCATTTAATGATGACTCTTGCCTGAATCCCTTATTTCTTGGGACAATGTTAATTTTCTAATTTTATCATTCCCTCAACTTTGATTAATAAATTATTTATTAGCAAGCATTCTTCTGTAGAAATTTCCTCTTTATTTTTTTTTATCAGTATGCCCTAATGGATTTAACTGACTGAGTTATGATCCTTACTGTATTGTCCTGTCTTTGGCTAATGGGAGCCCCTTCAAATTGGCTTCTTTTTTCAAATGACATGTCCCTACCATCCTTTGAGTACTTACTATTTTCTGGGACAACCAGATATTCAAGGATCCTCCCCTTCTCTGCCCAGGCCTGGTGTCAGCCATTGTTGGCAGGAGATCATCTGAGCAGATTGTGTGGATTTCAGAGGCATGAAAATTACTGTGAGGATTAAATAAGTTAGCGTGTATAACATTCTTGTGCTTTTGTGGAGTTGCCAAATTGTCATGAACAAGCATTACTTTATAGGCAGTGAAAAAGTGATTTTAAAAATGTGAAAACAGGTATATGTACATAAGCTAAAAATAAAGTCCTAAGTCCCCCATTGACCAAAGGGACCTTCTCTTGAGCAAGGGGACACCAGAAAAACCTTAACACTGAGTTCCCAGACATGACGCGATGGGAGGTCAGACATGCCTGGTAATAGCCCCCTGTTTTAGAGTTTGGACAGCACAACTGGCCAGCATTCATGTTAAAACAGATATCGTAAGACTGATAGAACGGACTCTGTGGCAATATGACACCAAATTATAAACAGGACCTAAAGCCATGCTAGGCAAGGGTAAGTCAGGCACTCCACACTTAGAGAATAAACTATATTCTAACGGCCACAAGGCTTTCTGTGTCTCTATTAGCCAAACACTGGCCTTGGGATAGGCAATATTAAAACAATTGCAGCTCCACATGCTGACTAACTCACCCTGTTTCACCAGCCATAACAGCTGTGATTGGACAAGAGACTGATTTCAGTGACTTTCTCCTGATAAGAGACCACCGACCAGCTGACCCCACCGACCAGCTGACCCGTTTATAGAGATGATGCACCTGTATGCCTTTGTGTCCTGAAAAGCTCTTTTGCCATAAAGGCCCTAATTGTAAGACATGTAAATGTTAAGTCTCCACGCCAAAGTGAACATGGGTCATATATTCCATGCTTTGCTCAAAAACAGGGCATGTGTCAGGACCACCTTCATGAATATTCATAGCTCCTCCTCTAACCTGTTAAATATGTATGTTTAGTCAATCCCCTCAGCATAGAGCTCCTGCCCCAAACCCTCCTCTTTGGAAGTGCCTGTCTCTGGCCTTGGCTGGAGACAGATTCCTGGTGCGGCCACCTTGCAGGCTACAACCCTTTACAACAAATAAAGCCTCCTCTTTTTCCAAATTTGTAAATTGTGTGTTTTTAAACTAACATGAATGACGGAAGGAAGGACGGCCTCTTCGAGCAAGGATGGTGAGGCAGTTATTTATATGGGGGAAAAATGGATTCTACCCTGGGTGGACTAAAGAGGAAATGTGAAAAAATAAAAAGTGAGAAACTGCTGATAGTGAATCGGTGCAAGCGCCCTGGAGAAGAGACTTGGCAATATTTAGGAAAGTCCAACAGCACGAACCCTACTACTCCGCAAAGCTGCTGGAACTGGCGGAAAGGAAATTGCAGCAGTGCGTGTGTGCGTGCGTCTGTTGGCAAAACGCTGCTAACAACTTCAATGCCCATCCGCTATTGAATAAATCTGCTTTATTCCTACAATGGAATACCAAACTGCAGAAAAATAATTAAAAGAACGTATCTCATGTTACAGGGGAAAAAATCAAGTTGCAGAAGCACATTAAAGCGCAGTTCGTGTAGTTTCAGAAAAGGCAAGCAGCGCGCTACCTGCGCTGCTTACACACGTGGTACAGGAGTGAAAGGGGCAGGAGAGGGTTCCCAGGAATTCAACGCCATCTGCCCAGGGAGGCGGGATTCCCAGCACGGAGAAACGATTGCTGCGGTCTGCCGTCCCGCGGGCACGATGGAGCGCTCCTACCGTACTCTCTAGTGTTGGTGTATTTGGAACGTTTCACGCCGTATTAAAATAAAACATGGCTAAGCTGGTTGTGGGGTGGCGGTCTGGGATAAAATGGAGGGGAGCTGCAGCTGGGCGGTGAGCTCCCCCGCACCTGTGCGACTGGACAGGTTTGCCCGCGAGGGCGGGGCGGGGGCGGGGCCGGGGCCTGGGGCAGGGGTGGAGCCGGGGCGGGGGCGGGGCCCTTCACGGGGCAACGAACTCGGCGGCCACCTCGCTGCGCAGGCGCGGTCGTGAGCGCCGCAGACGGGGCGGAGCGATCCGTAGGCAGGGCCTGACGCCGCAGTTCTGCTTGGCCGGAGCCTCAACGGATGGGCGGGGAGGGGGCGGGGCCGGGAAACCCGGAAGGTCCGGCGCCCGAGCACCCTGTCTCGCTGGGACCCGGGTCTTGCTGTCCCCCGCTGGCCTCCTGCCCGGGCGACTGCAGCCAGGATGGGCCGGAAGGTGACCGTGGCCACCTGCGCACTCAACCAGTGGGCCCTGGACTTCGAGGGCAATTTGCAAAGGATTTTAAAGAGTGAGTCTGGGGCGGCGGGGGCACTGTGGCTAGGCCCAGGCTTGCCCGTGGCGCGCTCACAGCCTTGCCCTGGGCAACTCGCGGCCCTGGGCATGGGATCAGGTGAGAAAATGGGTAATGACCCCGCCAGTGGTACGTGCTCAGGTCCTCCTCGGGAAGTGAGTGTTTATAGTTCGTGGGGACAAGCGATATACAAGGCACGGTTAAGAAAAGTCTGGCGGTTTAGGCGGGAGGCCTGGGGATGGACCCGTGTTCTATCTCTGGGGTCCAGTGGCTGGGGCTGAGCTGCCCATCCTCGGAGATATGTAAGTTGGACGGAATGGCTGCCCCCTGGCGGGTATGGTGTGCAGAGACCAGAGATTGACGGTCTGGGTCCCCGTGGACCTCCCTGGTGGGTGGGCATTGGGAGAAGGCGTCCCAGAAAGGGAAGTAGAAAAAGACGCCTGTCATCCCAGCACTTTGGGCGGGGAGGGGGCAGGGAATCACCTGAGGTCAGGAGTTCAAGACTAGCCTGGCCAACACGGTGAAACCCCGCCTCTACTAAAATACAAAAATCAGCTGGGCATGGTGGCCTCGAAGATAGGGTGTGGTTGTTGAAAGGTCACCATCTAATTTTCGTTCATATGGACGCACCGTGGAGGATGAAAAGTTAAACTATTACACCTGCACCTAAATGGGCAAGCCTGCAGGTGTAGTCAGGTTGCAGGTTATCTTGCACTGGTCTGCTGACTGCAAGAGCCTTTGCCAGGAGCAATAGAAACAGAATGTTTCAAGAGCTGGCATCTTATCAGCATGTACCCTGGATTATTATTATTATCATTATCATTATTATTTTGGACATGGACTCTCACTCTGTTGCCCAGGCTGGAGTGCAGTGGTGCCATCTTGGCTCACTGCAGTCTCTGCCTCCTGGACTCAAGCAATTCTCCTGCCTTAGCCTCCTGAGTAGCTGGGATTACAGGCGTCCGCCACCATGCATGGCCAATTTCTGTATTTTTAGTAGAGACGAGGTTTCACCATGTTGGCCAGGCCGGTCTCAAACTCCTGTCCTCAAGTGATCCACCTGCCTTGGCCTCCCAAAGTGCTGGGATTCCAGGCATGAGCCACCGCAGCCAGTGGTTGTTTTGTTTTGTTTTGTTTTTTAATAGCAACCTGCTTTCACCTCATTTGCTCAGAGCAAATCCAGTTGGACTGAAGAAGGCTGGGTGACTAGAGCTAAGCCTACACTCTGCCAGCCTCTCCTCCCTAGATGCTTGTTGGAAGCTGCTGCCCCAGACCAGTAAGCCGATGGTGCCTGACAGTGGCACCACTGCTGGATCGTAATCCTTCAAGTCCTTTTTCCTCTAGGTGGTGTTGGGCATTTCCTTGTTAATAAACTACCAGGGTGTGACTTCTTCCTCTTCCTCCGCCTCCTCCGTGGTGCTAAGGGTCAGGCCCGCAAACCCTCCCTGTTTCTCATTTTCTGCAGGTATAAGCAGGCATATGCAAGTATAGGCAGGTGCAGGTGTATACAGGTGTATGCTGCCCTCTGCTGCCAGGCTGTCAACAGGAAGCCTGACTGCATCCGGTCTGGGAAGGCACAGAGCATTTTTGTTTGTTGTTTGTATTTTGTTTTTATCCTACCTACTGCAGCAGGTTATTTCATCTGTCTCTGAATGTATAGGTGCTGAAATTGCCCCATTTTCTTTTTCTGTCTGTACTTACAGGTATTGAAATTGCCAAAAACAGAGGAGCAAGATACAGGCTTGGACCAGAGCTGGAAATATGGTAAGAACAGACACAGACACCCTGGGGTGGTCAGCTAGCGATGCCTGCATCAGCTCTCCCCAGCTGAGAAGGCAAGGAAGGAGCAGGGACAGTCCTGAGAGCTGTGGACATGCCACACCTGCTGTTGGGCCTGGTTAATGCCATTGAACACCTGAGCAAGAGCAGGCCCAGGGAGGCTGAGTAAGTCTAGATTCCCATGTTGAGTAATTAAAGGAACTGACTTTTACCGGATTAAGGCCAATTTCAAAGTTGGGCTGCTTCTGTGTTACCACTGCCTTTTTGCTGTGGTCTGAATGTTTGTGTCCCCCCAAAATTCATATGTTGAAACCTAACCCCCAGGTGATGGTATTAAGAGATGAAGCCTTTGGCAGGTGATTGGGTCATGAGGGTGGAACCTTCATGAATGGGATTAGTGCCCTTATAAGAGAGGCCCAAAGGAGCTCCTTGGCCGCTTCTACCACGTGAGGACACAGAAGGAGAGAACCAGCCCTCACCAGGTACCAAATCTGCCAGCACCTTGATCATGGGCTTCCCAGCCTCCAGAGCTGTAAGCAATACATTTCTGTTGCTTATAAATTACCCAGTCCAAGGTGTTTTGTTATAACAGCCTGAGGACCAAGATATCTTTGGTTTTCATTCCGTGATCTCAAAACAAGCATAAGTCATCATTTCTTATATGCCTTTTTGTAAAAATCAGGAAAACTGATTGCTTATTTCCCTTCTTGTCCCTTCTTTAAAAACAAAAACAAAAACAAAAAACAATAAGTAGCCACATTGTAGGTCTCTTGTAAGCAATAGTCCTTTCTCATTTTGGATGTCAGCTGCCATCTGTGCTCAGCTAGTTTCCCGTTGGTCTTTAGGCCCCTGACCCATTGTGGAATCTGGAAGTCCCTCTTCAGTCTTTGTCTCCTGCCTTAGTGTGTGTTCTTGCTTCTGGACTTAGAGTAAGCAGGAACTGTCTTCTCTTAGGAGGTTTTGTGTGAGTCCAGAGGCATCTTTCTCTAAGTCCTTCCAAGTTCCTTTCCTTTATTAGGTCGATTTCTCTCCTTAGAATCCCACCTTCAAATAGGGCTGTTTCTCCCATAATATCCAAGAATGTTTACTTTGTTCTTTAATTTGTCTTCATTTGATTGATTCTTTAAGAAATTCTTCACCTAAGTGCCAAGGGATCTAGGATTCTGGGTAGTCTGAGGTCACAAAAATTCGATCCTCTCCTGGCCCTGTGGCCGGATCCTCTCCTGGGCCGGACTCAAGGCCTGATCATCTCGTGAGCCTGACCTCTCCTGGGCTGGTCCAGGAGCGTGATCCTCATGTCCTGTCTGCTGCTTGCCCTGGAAGAGCTGCAGTGGTGACAGCCCAGTCCCCCGGCCTGATGTGGCCCAGATGCTTAGAGTTTAACTCTTCTTTTCTTTCTTCGTCCTAGTCTCTCTCTTCTATAAAAGTTATATCCACCTCTCTCTTTCCTCCAAATATGGGCCTGTTTCATTTTGAAAATGGGAGGATGTCTAACTAAAGGCCCCTGGGATGGAATATTTGCATTCAGCAGGGACAGGGGCCCAGCTGAGCAGGGCTCTATATAGCTCACAACCTGCTGAGCAGGTTCCTATGAAATATTCCAACAGTTTACAAAGAGGAAACCGAGGCAGGAGAGGAGGGACGTCACTTCACTGAGCACACCGCCTCTTGTTCTTACTGGTTAGGGGTCCAGCACCTGATACACAGGGAGGGCCCAGTGGCCCTAGAGCAGGCTGACTTGTGGACCAGAGACCCTCTCACCTAGAAACGTCAGCTGTTTCCTTTGAGTTGGTGCTGGAGGCTTTGGAAAGGGATGGCTGCCACCCAAATAGCCCCGGGCACGGATTGACCAGCGCCTGCGATAAACTGCTCCTCCAGCTGCTGGCCCGTCGAAGGGGTGAGAGGCCTCTGGTCGCTGGACGCCATGCAGAGGGACGTGTGGTGTTATTATGTTATTTGGTTTCACATGTGGGCCAGGACGCCAACAGGGCATGAAAACCCACGAAACAGGGATCCGTTGGAGGAGAACGGACATCTCAGGACTCCGTTCCCTACTGGGGCATCTCCTGGATACCGTTTGTATCTGAGAACTGGGCTTTTCCTCTTAGCAGAGCCAGCACAGAGAGCAGTGCTTTCCCAGATACTAAAAATCATAATTGCCGGTTCTGGGGTTTATGCGAGCGTGTGTGAGGTTTGCTGGGCATTTAAAGTGTGCCTTCCAGGCTGATGGCGTAGTAGAAAGGAGAACTTCTTGAAGAGTTATAAGTGTTCTACAAATGCTCTATATTGTATTATGGGAACCCCAATAGTAAGCAACCCAGCCTTCACATTTAATGACACCACGGATTATTGAATTCCTGCGGATGCCGAAATAGAAACAAACTAGAGACTTAAAGCAACAGAAATGTATTCTCTCACAGTTCAGGAAGCCAGAAGTCCAAAATCAGGATGGCAGCAGGGCCTGCCTCCCTCCAAAGGCTCTTGGGGAGGGTCCCTCCTGCCTTTCCCAGCTCCTAGTGGTTCCAGGTGCTCCTTGGCTTGTGGCCTCCGTGCTCCCATCTCTGCCTCCGTCCTCACGTTGCCGCCTCCTGTTCTCCCCGTCTCTCCTTTCCTTTATCTTACAAGGACACTTGTCATTGGACTTAGGCCCACCTGCAAAAGCCAGGGTGATCTCATCTTGGGATACTTAATTTCGTTACATCAGCAGACTCTTTTTCTAAGATAAGGTTGCATTTGCAGGTTTCTAAGGTTGGGATGTGGACAGACCTTTTTACCTTCATTCAGCCGACTACAAACATCTATAGCAAGAAACTCAGGGGTAGCTTTGTGGGTGGTTTTTCTGAATGGTTATTAGTGATCTTTGCCAAATAATGGATTTCTGTGGGTCCAGCTTTGTTTCTTTGGGGTTCTTCTCTTGTCGATCAGTGTCATTTGGGCCACATTAATGGTTAAAAGGAAACCCAAGGACAGGCGCTTCCTGATATGAGAGATTTTTTGTAGTAACTTAAAACTCAGAGAGAGGAGCAGGGGCCATGCTCTATCACGTTCAGTAAAGCACATTGTGCTGGGGCGGTGGGTCTTATGCTGGATGCTCACTGGAATCACCTGGAAGGCTTTGAGAAAACACCTGAGCCCCGGCCCCCAGACACGTTCAGACTGGACGGGCCCACAGGCCCTGCCCCAGCCCGCTCACCTGAATTGTTTCTGGAGCTCACCTTCTCACTCTCTCTGCAGCGGCTACGGATGCTGGGATCATTATTACGAGTCGGACACCCTCTTGCACTCGTTTCAAGTCCTGGCGGCCCTTCTGGAGTCTCCCGTCACTCAGGACATCATCTGCGACGTGGGCATGTAAGTGCCAGTGTGAGTGTGGAAGGGCAAGCCCGGGACAAAGGCAGGCTCAAGGGCATGACCCACCCAACCAGCCTCCATCCAGGGTGTGGAACGTCCACGTGTCCAGGGATACCAAAGGCCTTATGCTTGAAAAGTGGGTTTTGTTCCTATCTCAGCCCCGTACGCCACCTCATTTCCCCTGCAAGGAGGTAGCTCCCGGAAGCAGGATGTGTCAGTTCTTCCGGAAAGTCCCGTGCACACATCAGCAGACTCCACACAAAGGGGAATGCAGCGTTCACCCCATTGCATGCAGAGAGCTTGACTCACATCATGGGGAGCCCTGGGGCTCATTCCACGTCTGCATGTCGCCACGTGGTTCCCATGGCTTAGGCTGCATATGTGTAGCTCCACAAGGAAGGCCTCTGCATGCGCTGTGCTAGTGTCTGTGCTGTGCCCTGCATAGTCGGTCCCTATGGAGGCCTCTGCACATTCTGTGCTAGTGTCTGAGCCCTGCTTTGCATAGCGGGTTCCCTATGGAGTATGCTGTACTGGTGTCTGTGCTGCACTCTGCATAGCTGGTACCCTGTGGAGGCCTCTGCATGCACCATGCTGGTGTCTGTGCTGTGCCCTGCATAGCCGGTCCCTGTGGAGGATGCTGTGCTGTTGTCTGTGCTGTGCTCTGCATAGCTGCTCCTATGGAGGCCTCTGCACACGCTCTGCTGGTGTCTGTGCTGTGGCATAGCTGGTCCGCTATGTGCCACACTCTGCATAGCTGTCCCCTGTGGAGGGCCCTGTGTGCGCTGTGCTGGTGTCTGTGCCACACTCTGTATAGCTGGTCCCCTATGGAGGCCTCTGCACTCACTGTGCTGGTGTCTGTGCCGCACTCTGCATAGCTGTCCCCTGTGGAGGCCTCTGCACATGCTCTGTTGGTGTCTGCTGCGCTCTGCATCGCTGTCGCCTTTCACTGGGCTTTGCATCGAGTCCTTTACGTCTCCTTCAGCCCCGCCTCATCCGGCATGGAGATGGCATCTTGGCTTACTTCTTTCTTGGCATCTGTCTGGCGCATATTCTCCCGCCACTCGCATCCAACCCTCACCATGACATTTATGGAGTGGGGCCTCTTCTAAGCAGCACACGGATGGGAATTTTAGGCTCTGTTCACATGGATGATGCTAATTGGTCCCGTGGACTCTCTTAGTTTCCTTTTGCTGCTCTGGTGAATTACCATGGACACAAAACACACAAGCAACACCAGTCTTTTATCTAATGGTTCTGAAGGTCAGAAGTCAAGGGGTCAGTGGGTCAGCAGCAAGCCTGGTTCCTTCTGGAGACTCTCCAGGAGGATCTGTGTCCTTGCCTTCTCTAGCTTCCCTGGCCTGTGGCCTCTTCCAGCTGTGACGTCGCCCCGACCCCCACTTCTGTTGTCACAGCTCCTCCTCTGACCCTCCCTCTTATGGGGACTCTTGCCATTATGCTAGCTGGCCCGGATTGTCCAGAATCATCTCCCATCTCAAGGCCTGTCACCTCATCACCCCTGCAACGTCTCAGGTAACAAAACACAGTCGCAGGCTCCAGCAGTTAGGATGGGGACATCTTTGAGGGGCTGAGAGTCAGCCGACCACATGGACTTATCTCGTCACTTCACCAAGTTTTCTACTCATTAGGGTTTCTTTTTTTCGTTTTTGTTTGTTTGTTTGAGACAGATTCTCACTCTGTTGTCCAGGCTGGAGTGCTGTGGTGCAATCCTGGCTCACTGCAGCCTCGACCTCCTGGGCTCAAGTGATCCGTCCGCCTCAGCCTCCTGAGTACCTGGGACTACAGGTGCACGCTAGCACACCTGGCTGGTGTTTTTTTTTTTTTTTTTTTTAAATTTTTCCTAGAGACAGGGTCTCGCTATGTTGCCCAGGCTGGTTCTTTTTGGGTTTTGTCTTTTGTTGGTTCATTTTTGCTCAAACTTTTCCTCTGCTGACTTTGAGTTTATAATCCTCTTTTCATTTTTCTACTTTTTACACTTAAAAATTGTAACCATCATATTTGAAGGTATTTTTTTCTTTTGAAATCTAGTGTTTTTCTGGATTGGAGGCTCCAATGAACAAAACAAGAGTTTTATCATAATGTCATTGATAACTTCCATCTTGCACTGTTTCTTCAAATGGTCCTCCAGGAAGAGGGTGCTGATTTGGTTGTGGTTGCAGGTGCACCATCCTTAGTTCTGCCCTACAAGGGGTTCGCCTTTATAAACAAAATAAAGAAACAGAGTGGTGAATACTTTTTTAAAAACGACTGTCTTATTTATTTGCTTTGCTCACTTACGGAGTTGAACTTTTTTGTTTGTTTGTTGGTTGGTTGTAACACTCTTCGAGAGTTACCTGTTTTTTTGCCTACAACTGCTTGTGTCTCATTTATTTTGAGTCCTTGACATGTGAAACATGTCAGTCCCTTCCCACGTAAGGTAAAAATCCTTCTCCCGGTGCGTCGTTTGGTGTGTAACTTTGTTTTATGTGTCCGGTGGTAAAACGTTCACGTGGTGAAAGCGCCGCCCTGATCTGCTTTAGTTTGTTTCTGAGTTTGTCCTGGTGACTTACTCCACTTAGAGATCAGATATTCACGGAGGGCTCGTATTTTATTGAAAACATCTATTTCTCTCACACTCTGGGCACACTTTGTCTAAGTGAGAACAAGTTTGTGTTCGTCAGGCATCTTCTGTGGCAAGAACAAGAGCAAGAGAGAGAGGGGCGAGGCGCTACTCACTTTTTTATTTTTATTTGTTTATTTCTTTTTGAGACAGAGTCTCACTCTGTCGCGCAGGCTGGAGTGCAGTGGTGCGATCTCGGCTCACTGCAACCTCTGCCTCCCGGGTTCAAGCGATCCTCCTGCCCCAGCCTCCCAAGTAGCTGGGACTACAGGTGCACGCCACCACACCAGGCTAATTTTTGTGTTTTTAGTAGAGACAGGGTTTCATCAGATTGGTCAAGCTGGTCTTGAACTCCTGACCTTGTAATCCGCCTGCCTCAGCCTCCCAAAGTGCTGGGATTACAGGCGTGAGCCACTGCACCCAGTTGCTACACACTCTTAAAACGACCAGATCTCACGAGAACCCATTCACTCCCTGTCAGAAGAACAGCACGGAGGGGATGGTGCCAAGCCATGCATGAGAACTCCGCCCACACCAGGCCCTACCTCCAAACTGGGGATTACAGTTGGACATGAGATCTGGTGGGGTCCTGAATCCAGAACACGTCGGAGAGGAGGAACAGAAGCCATGATGGAGTGAGTCGCTCATGGTGGCCACAGCCAGGACGGGGGCTGCAGCCAGGACAGGGACGGGCAGTGGTGCCCCTGCATGCATCTTACCCTTTCATCCCCATTTTTGGGAGGAAGAGTCGAGGCTGTTGTCAACCAGAAATAAAATCCTAAGGTCCTCCCAACCCTCTGAATGAACTGCTTCTCTCAGAGGGACCCTCCAGGGTTAACCTGAAAGCCTGGTTCAGGCCATGACGGGGAGTCGGTGGTGATCGGGGATCAGACAGGCCTCATTTCCCCTCCTTCCTTTTGGAAGAGCTGACCAGCATGAACATCAACACAGACTTTAAGTCTCATAGGAAACATTTACAGTCTGTTCCCTCTGAAGCCCGCTACTCGGAGGTTTCATCTACATCATAAAACTTTGGTCTTCACAACCCACTGTCATAACCCAGACGTTCCTTTCTATTGATAATAACTCAACCAATTGCCGATCAGAACCATTTAAATCCACCTATGGCCTGGAAGCCCATCCCCGGCCGCCTCGAGTTGGTCCTGCCTTTCCAGTTCGAGCAGTGCCCATCCAGCATGTATTGAGTGACATCTTCTCTCTCCCTGAAATGTGTACAAGCAGGCTGTGCCCCGACCACCGCGGGCACGTGTGGTTAGGACCTCCTCAGGCTGTGTCAGGTGTGTGTCCTTCACCTTGGCAAAATAAATGTTCTAAGTGGACTGAGACCTGTCTCAGATACTTTTGGGTTCACACCGGTTACTCAGCCAGTGGCAAGGCTGGAATCGGAACTCCACACCATCCACGTTTGGTTTTTCTTCCCCCGAAACACTTTTGCGGTCGGATCACACCCCCGGCAGGCGCCTGTGCTTCTCTCCGACACTGCGTCCTCTCAGCGCTCCTGTCCGGGTCATCTTTCCCTTGTGCTGCCCTGCTCTGGCCAGAGCCTCTTGTCGGGTCACTCTGGTCCCCGTACGAGTATCCCCAGCCAGGTCGCCCTCTCCTGCTGTGGTTCCCTCATCTGCAGTGGGAGATGATAGGGTGTCAGCGAGGTGATAGGAGTGTGAAGCCAAGGCCCAGTCCTGAGAAAGGGCCGGCCCCGAGTGGCGAATGGAAGGGTTCCACATGTCCCAGGTGGTGGGTGGAAATGAGCTCAGGGCGGACAAGTGCTGGAAAGTGGATACCTCAGGTTAGCACAAGGCAATTTGGAGGGGGAAGGGGAGGAGGCAGCAGAGGCTGGAACATTTCAGAAGGAGAGGGAAGAACCCTGTGGTGGAAAGAAGTTGCTGTTCATTGAGAAGAAGCTCCTCTAGGCTTAGAGTCGGTGCTGCCTGGGTGGCAGAACCATCTCGGCTCATTTTAGCTTTGATTTGAGGGTGCCAACAGAAGAGCCTTGCAGTTCTGTGAAGGGATCGGAGGAGGCTTCATATTAAAGTAAAATGCATGATTCCAGAGCTGCAGCCAGCCACTGCCTCCGCATGCTCTGTGTTTTCATAACTGGGCAGACATGCATGTACCTCCCCTCTCTCCTGCAGGCCTGTAATGCACCGAAATGTCCGCTACAACTGCAGAGTGATATTCCTCAACAGGTAGGCTCCCTGCCCCCGCCCCCGGGAGGGTGACTGGGGCCTCTCCCTGGCTCTCAGCCGAGGGTGCTGCCCTGGGGACCCATTACTGGTAGGCTGCTTCTGGAAGTGCCCGGGTTAGTCAGAGCCGATGCACCAGGCAGGTGACCCAGGTGCCTTTGCTTCTCTGGGTCTCAGCCACCACCGAGACAGGCATCATCAGGTATCAGAAAGAGAGAGACGCAGAGGGTGGGGGTGTGGGGATACAGGTCCTTGTGGCCTGGAAGCCAGTCCTGCTGAGCGAGTTCCCTGGAGCGCCTGGTCACCAGCTGCTGGTGAGGTGCATACCTGCTGGGGCTTAGCTGCTTCACTGTGAGGGTCAGGAACGGATGCAGCCGTGGAGACCTGAGTCAGAGAGAGAAAGTGGAAGCCCAGATAAGGAGAGAGATTTGCTCGGGGCCCCATTCTTGAGCCAACTGTACACGGCATCACCTTGTCCCCCGGTGGCAGTGGCCACCGCCAGTGACATGTTTGTCTCAGGAGCCCGGTGTGCACGGCTTTGTTCCTCTGCCTGCAGGAAGATCCTGCTCATCAGACCCAAGATGGCCTTGGCCAACGAAGGCAACTACCGCGAGCTACGCTGGTTCACCCCGTGGTCGAGGAGTCGGTGAGTTGGGTGCTGGACCGCTCCCGGGATGTATGTTAAGCACCTTCGCTGTGTGTAGCCTTGGGTCCGGATCATGGGGGTGTTACTGGTGGAGGGTGTCCAGGTTCTTGACATTTTGAACAAAGGATTGGACAAAAAGCACAAACAAAGCAAACAAAGAATGAAGCAACCAAAGCAGAGACTGAATGAAAATAAAAGCCCACTCCACAGGACGGGAGCGGCCCCAGCAAGGCTCACGGGCCCGGTTACGCAATGTTCTGGGATTTAAATATCCTCTAGAGGCTTCCCATTGGTTACTTGGTGTGGGCCCCATGTCAATAAAGAGGCTGAAGTGAAGTGACAAGGTTATTTACTTGGTGTACACACTATGCAAATAAAGAGGTGTTTCCTCTCTGAATTAGTTACAAAGTTATTTACTTGGTCTTAGAAAGCTGGGGTTTTTCCTTTGATTTAGTTCTAGGAAGTGCTCAGGTTCCCTGCCCCCAGACCCTATTCTACCTCAGCAGTGTCAGGGATACGGACTAGCTGGGGCCAATGGTGCAGGCAGTGAAGGGATTTACCAAGACGGTTGTAGGCGAAGACAGGCAGATTGATTAGAGAAAGTAGGAAAATATTTTGCAAGATTGCAACAGGCAGCACAGCAGAGAAGGGGCTGTCTGCAGAGAGGCGGGGGCTGGAGGGAGGTGTTATAGGGTTGTGCTGGAGGGGGCTACATTGGGGATGAGGTAGAACTGTGGGAGCCACTGCGGAAGGAGGTCATTGTGCCTGTGGAGGTCATCATGCCCTCAGAACAATTGTTCGTTGTTCTCCACATCTGGGGCTCCATACTCATGGCTTCCTCATCTGATCAGGTCTCTGCAAGCAGAGGATGCACAGAAACATGGACTAGGGTCTCCACCCCCTGGTGCCAGTCCCTTATATGCCTGATTTGATGCTGCTGATTAAATTGTAGCTAGGTTCAGTGCAGATCACGTGGAACTCTCAGTCATCAGTCAGGGATGTCAGTCATGTTAGGTGAAGTGTCACTTCCATCTCGAATGATACTGAATGTCAGGTTTCACATCGTCACCCGGTTGACCTTTGGGTCATTCTTCATCATGGGGTGTCTGCCACGTGCATCCTCAGGCATTTACTGGCATAGCTGGTCTCCCCACAGATACTCCCAGTTGTGACAACCAAAAATGTCCCCAGACATTACCAGATGTCCCCTGGGGGGCAAAATTGCCCCAGTTGAGAAATTCTACTCTCTATTTTTACTACAGTTATTTCTGTTTTTTATTGTTGTTATTGTAAATGAATTCTTTAATATTATATTTTTAAGTGGTTAATATTTTTATGTAGGAAAACTTGATTTTTGTGTTGCTTTTGTAATTGACCACCTCATTAAATTCTCCTATTGTGTCTGTTAGTTAGTCTGTTGATTTTTGTAGTTTTTCTTTTAAGTTAAACTTATATAATATGCAACTAATTTTCCTTTTCCTTTCCAGTATTTACACCTCTTGGTTCATTTTCTTAACTTTTGTTGGCCAGCATTTCTAGAACGGTGTACTAGATCATTTCTGGAGCAAAATTCTTTGCTAAGGGGCAGTGTCGTCTTTTTCCCAACTTTCCTTGGAAAGTTCTTCATGTTTCTGCATTTGATTGGGGCTTATATCTATCTATAGCTAGTTTTACTTCAGATTTTTAAAAATTGAGAATGGATGTTAAGTTTATCCCATGTCTTTCTAGCATATGTTGAGGTGAAGATAAAGTAAATCTTTGCTTTGTAAATTCTCCAGAAGAAAAACAAAAACAAAAACAAAAAAGCTGTCTTTTGATCTCCTAGGCTGAGCACCTACACTCAGCCACCTGGGCTTTCACTTAACACGCGCCCCCATCCTCAGCCTCTAGACCTCAAGACCACCCCTTTCCCTGTCCCCTGCCTCCCGAGCCTAGTGTTCTGGTGCCCAGTGTCTGGTGCACTCTGGTCCCCAGTGGGATGATGTGCTGGGCCCAGGAAGTGGTCCAGGTATCCTCTGCTTCCGGCTCTGTCTCACCCCGCCCTCTAGAGCCTGGTGCTGTCAGGCACGGGCTGCAAGGTCTCCGTGGGCGGACGGCTTTGCTTCTCATGGCCACTCTCTTCTGCAGGCTCCAAGGCTGTAATTTCATCATCTCTGCCAGCAGAGGCGGAGAGATGTCTGCCCCTTCGCGGTTCACTTTCTGTCTTGCAGGTGGAATCGTTGACTGCTCTTGTCTGCCACTCACTCCTCTGCTGCTTTGCCGTTTCTGACTCCAGGGCAGTTCCAGAACCGGAATGACCCTCACGACCGAAGCCATCAATATGCAGGATACAGTGTGTCTGCATTTATGTCTCATTTTCAAATGTGCACCACTGAGCTGGCAGGAAAGTACAGAATACATTGAGCCTAAAAGCAGTGAAACCAGAGACCCTGGGAAACAAGGGTAAGACCCGGGGCACAAAGCTGGCTTTTGCCCCAAGGGTTTTCCTACGCCTGGAGACCTTGAGCTTTATTGATGATAACTCCATGGAAGTGGAGGTGGGGGGATGGGCAGGAGATCCAGTAGGAGACACCCCCGTATGCTGTCGCTATAGTCGGCTCACATTAAAACCGTGACTGAGACATAAGCCCACTGCACAGAGAGAGAAGGCTGAACACACGCCTTCCTCAACCTGGTGCTTGGTGGAGGGGGAGAAATGTTGCCTAGAAATTGACAGCCTTTGTGCTGGAAACCTCCCTACCTGTGTAGTATAATAAGACTCAGGAGAAGAAGTTAATTCCGTGTGCACCCAAGATGAGTTCAGGAAGTGTCCAGTCTCCAGGCAATAGACCTTCCAGAAGTTACCGTAGCACCCGCAGATGCTGGGCGTGGGCAAACAGACATCTCTCTGGAGAAATTCACCTTCAATCCAGGCTGCTCAGAATTTCTAGACGTGACATTTATAGAAAATGAGAAACTCACAGTCCAAAATCATAAAATGTACAAGGAAATAAGGCACAACGAGTAAGAACCAGCAAAAAAATACAGTAGATGCAGACGTGAAAGCTCGACACAGAATAGAAAATAAGTGTTCCTAATACACTGAAATAAATCGATGAGAAGCTCAAAAGGTAAGAAACAGACAATCAGAGTTAGAAAAAGAGCCAAATAATAATGTGGATGAATAACACGTAAGTTAAACATAGTTGAATAGAGAGGTAGGGAACTGAAAGATAGACCTCTCCCTGCAATTATCTAGAATTTAAGCCTTAAAGAAAATCTGATGCAAACCTAAGAGACATTAAGAAACATGAGCAAAGAGTGAAAGTGGATAACAAGGGTGGAATCCCTGTCTCAGAAGGAGATAACGGAGGTTATGGAGAAGAGGCGGTATTTGAAAGAAGATGGAAACATCCACACAATATTTAAAAGATGCTGTTCTCAGATACACTAACTGCAACAGATCTCAATAGGATAAACAAACAGAAAGTCACATCTAGAAACATTCTTGTGAAACCACAGAACACTAAAGACACAGAGAAATTCTCGAAAGTAGCCAGAAGGAGAAAAGAAATCACCCACAAAGATTGAGCAGCTGGAGCAACTCCTGCTTCGTCGTGGCAAAGCCTGGAGCCAGGAGACGGTGGCTGGAAAAAATCCGAGGAGGGAGTCACCGGTAGCCGGGAATGTTAGAATCAGCAAATGCATCCTTTAAGAACAAGGACAAAATCAAGACATTTTTACACAAGCAAAAACAGTTTATCGTTAAAAGACTCAATGGAAATTCTGAACGTGTACGTTAGGCAGAAGGAAAATTATTCTAGCAGAAGCCTTGAAATTTCAAAAGGATTGGTGAAAAGGGATATTGATAAATTTGTGGATATGTGTAAACAAACGGGACTGTACGAAACATAATGTCTAGTATGTAGTAGAAAATCGGCCAGCCCTAAATCGCTGCACAGCTGTGCATGTAAATTAGGGCAATGCTCTGTAGGAGGGTAAAGATACTGATCAATTTTTGACTTTAGGTGAAATACACATAAAGTTTCTAGGGTAACCACTAAAAGGAAAGATACAGAACATATGATTGTCAAAGTAGCAGGCAGAAGAAAAGAAGAATAAAAAGGAAAAAATGAAATAATTCCAAATGAAGCATAAAAGGAAGTGAGTTCTTTAAAAGTCCAGTAGAAAAAGTGGGACTCAGAGATAGCACAGAAGACAGAATAAATCTGTCAGTAATCACTACAAATAAAAATGGACACAATAATTTGATTAAAGGACAGAGGTCGTTATTCTGGATCAAATGAAAATCCAGGAATAGACTGAAACCATATTGTAATTAACAATACATTTTGGCAAGTTTGCTGGATGATAAAACCAATCAAAAGTCAGGCTCCTTTCATTTACCAGCAACATTCAGTCAGAACGTGTAACTTTAAGGAAGATACTGTTTATTCCAGCAGCCAAAGTGCTTATGGATAACTATAACCAGAGATGTGTAAGCCCCGTATGGGAAAAAGTGATAAAATTTTATGGGAGGGCATTAACAACTACTGAGCTAAATGGAGATTGCCTGCGTATGTGAAAAGGAAGGCACAGTGTGAAAAGCATTCATCTCCCCTAAGTTGATCTATGGATTCAGTGTAGTTTCCATAAGAATCTGAACAGGAAATTCAATAAACCGGCTCCAATATTTCCATGGAAGAGCAGAAGGCCACGAATAGCTAAGATACTCATGAAGACCAAAAGAAAGGCCAGGCGTGGTGGCTCATGCCTGTAATCCCAGCACTTTGGGAGGCTAAGGCAGTCAGAAGTTCAGGATTCGAGACCAGCTCAGAAGTTCGAGACCAGCCTGGGCAACATGGTGAAACCCCCTTTCTACCAAAGAAAATACAAAAATCAGCTGGGCGTTGCGATGTGCACCTGTGGTCCCAGCTGTCGCGATCAGCTGGGTTGTGGAGACCCTAACCCAGTGGCACTAGAGGAATTAAAGACACACACATACAGAAATATAGAGTGTGGAGTGGGAGTTGGGGCTGACAGCCTTCAGAGTGGAGAGCCACGAATGAGTGTTACCCACATATTTATTGACAGCAAGCCAATGATAAGCATTGTGTCTATAGATTATAGATTAACTAAAACAGGAAACAAAGGAATGGGCTCTGGTTACTTATCTGCAGCAGGAACATGTCCTTAAGGCACAGATTGCTTATGCTATTGTTTGTGGTTCCGGACCGCCTTAAGTGGTTTTCCGTCCTGGGTGGGCCAGGTGTTCCTTGCCCTCATTCTGGTAAACCCACAGCCTTCAGCCTGGGCGTCATAGCCATCATGAGCATGTCACAGTGCTGCAGAGATTTTGTTTATGGCCACATTTGGGGGCCTGTTCCCAACACCAGCTACCTGAGATGCTGAAGTGGGAGGATCACTTGAGCCCATGAGACTGAGCCTGCAGCAAACCCCGATCGTGCCACTACACTCTAGCCCAGATGACAGAATGAGACCCTGTTCGTCCGTTTTCATGCTGCTGATAAAGACATACCCAAGACTGGGTAATTTATAAAGAAAAAGAGCTTTAATACACTCGCAGTTCCATGTGGCTGGGAAGGCCTCACAATCACAGCAGAAGGCGAAAGGCACATCCTACGTAGCGGCAGACAAGAGAGAACGAGACCCAAGCAAAAAGGAAAACCCATTATAAAAGCATCAGCTCTCCTGAGACTCACTACCATGAGAACAGTTTGGGGGAAACCATCCTGTGGTTAATTTATCTCCCACCGGGTCCCTCCCACAGCATGTGGGAATCACAGGAGCTAAGATTCAAGGTGAGATTTGGGTGGGGACACAGCCAGACCATATCAGCGCACCTGGGTTGAAGTCCAAAGATAGGCGAGATTTGTTGCGGGGAGCACTTCCAAGGAGAGAGCATCACACGGTGGGAGCTCCGAGGTCCAGGCGATGCTCTGCTCCTTCACCTGGGTACTGTGTGCACTGGACTTATTTTAATATCCTTTAATTACACATGTGTGCCTTTGTACTCTTTTGCGTAACATATTTTGCAATAAAACGAATCCATAAAGGAAGTCTGTGGCCAACCAGATTTTAGTGCTGCTTCTGCAGGAACCAGCTTTTCCTGCCAAGGTGCCTGTGGGATATCTCTACGACTCTGGAGGTTCAGTAGCTCCAGCAAATGGCTTGGGGGTTCTCATCATGTTTGATTATACCCTGTAAGGTTTTTCGACTTCACATTCAGGTCTTCTTATTTCAGGAAAAGTTGACCTATTTTCTGCTTCCAAAGGCTTTTGTTCTTTTGCTTCCGTTCTGTTCTTCCGGAACCTCGATGGTGGGCAAGTGACATGTCTGTGTCTGCCTGCCTTATCTTTCATCTTCTTTCTAACCATCATGTATTTGCATTTTTTTCTGGCAGTTTTATTCCCCTGAATTTGTCTTCTCTGCAGTGCTCTTCACGGGGCTCTATCCTGTGCTTTGTTTTTCGTATCTGCAAGCATTTTAAGACTTTTCAAAATCTTTTCTTAGTTGTCAACTTATCTCCCGTCATTTATTTGTGCTTTTGTTGAGACCTTTTATCAGTTGATGTTGTCTCTAGGATTTCAGAGCGTAAGTGTGGGGCTCCTGTTCCTCCTTCTCCATTTGTCTCATGAATACCTCAGTGTCAGGTGTCACACTGGGCCCTCTGGGATGGTATTCCTTTCATCCCTGTGGAAGGGGTGGCAGGAAGGTGAGGCTGGAGCCCACCAGAAGCAACTGCACATTTTGGTTCGCTTAGAGAAAGCTGAGGTTTCTTTTTTTTTTTTTTTTTTTTTTTTTTTTTTTTGAGATGGAGTCTCGCTCTGTTGCCCGGGCTGGAGTGCAGTAGCCGGATCTCAGCTCACTGCAAGCTCCGCCTCCCGGGTTCAGGCCATTCTCCTGCCTCAGCCTCCCGAGTAGCTGGGACTACAGGTGCCCGCCAACTCACCCGGCTAGTTTTTTGTATTTTTTTAGTAGAGACGGGGTTTCACCGGGTTAGCCAGGATGGTCTTGATCTCCTGACCTCGTGATCCACCCGTCTCGGCCTCCCAAAGTGCTGGGATTACAGGCTTGAGCCACCGCGCCTAGCCGAAAGGTGAGGTTTCTAATCCTCTGGGAGCTGTGCCAGATGATGACAAGAAATGGTCGTGTTCACCATGCCCCTGTTTTAGTAAAGAGTACTTGGCAGGCTCAAGGTGCCATTCCAGGTTCCAGGTCCTCTTAGGAAAACATAACTAAGGCCTGGTCCTTGCCTGCAGAGAGCCATTCTCAAGGTGTGTGCTGGCCGTGGAGCACAGCTGCAGTGAGGGGCAAGGCTGGGTGCATGCCCGTCCTGCTGGGTCTTTGGTGCCCGGGGGGTCTTTGCATGAGTCGAGGGAAAGGTGCAGATGCAGGGAGAGATGTTTGGACGGTTCCTGCGTTTAAAATGCATGTTGGTGCAGCAGCATCGCCATCAACAGGCTATAGAGGGTGAACTGAGTGCTCGTTATGGGATGCCAAGGCAGCCTGGAGGTCTGTAGGGTATCTTCATGTCCCCGTTCCCTACGTGAATGAGGGGGAAAGACATCATTGACTCAGTTTCTCAACTTTTAACATTTCTTAAGTAAAGAGAGCTACTAAAACCATGCCCAGAAGGCTCCTGGGAATTCTGAGAAAGCAAAAAGGAAACAGAGTTTCTTGCAAGTCTGAGTGGCGCATCTTGTAACAGCCTGTTGGAAGTCAAATACGTGAACCGTCTATTTTGAAGATTCCGCCTCTTGGTGGAGTGTCTTGGGACACCTTGCACTAAAGTTGGTATTAAACCCTCCTCCCCATCTCTCGAATTGAGAGCATCATTTTATTCCAAGGATGTACGGGTTTGTCATTGTGTTTCGGGTTAATGCCACATGATTTTTCTGATTCAGTAACAGCAGTCAGGAATTCCACCCGGATTTCTCCATGGGGCAGCGTGGCCAGTTCTCAGCGAATCCCCTGTGACACATCTCTCCGTAAAGATGACCATGAGCGTGTGGGGAAACTGAGACAGCCTGATGCTCGGAGAGCCCAGCCCACCACGATGTCACGTAGTCTCCTCAAGCCACCTTCATACTCTTTACCTTCATGCAATTGTTTATTGCACTGGGGGAACGCTTGGCAGTTCCTTTGCCAGTTCATCAGTTCGGAGGGTTCAGTTTGAGTTTTGTTTAAATGTAGCTGCCCTTCCTCATTTGTCCTGAGATGCTCATCCTCAGATCATTGGTGTTTTCCTCTCCAGGCACACGGAGGAGTACCTTCTGCCTCGGATGATACAGGACCTGACAAAGCAGGCGAGTCCCTGGGTGTGGAGCCCATTTTTCAGTCGGTTGTCGCTGTTCTCAGGCAACAGTGGACCGGGTGGGGCGGGAACCCTTTGGGATCCAGGTAACGGAAGGCACCACAGTGCGCACAGGTCTGAAACAGACAAAGGAGGCAGATTCCTGTAGCGAGGGGGGCTGCGGGCCAGGCAACAGCCAGGGCGGCTCCTCCTGGCCTTGGGGCTGCTTTTCCTCCCTTTCCCTGCTCACACTGGCTTCCTCCTCTTGGTGTCCTCCTTGTGGCAGAAGACAGCCTTCTCCGCCCCCAGGGGCTGTGTTCCTACGTTTAAGTGTTATCTAGACCGACAGCAAACTGCCCTGTTCTCAATTTTGAATTCTAAGGGAAGGCACCCTGGTGTCCCCTCTCAGCCGCTGCTCTGTGGCTGGGAGTGGGGGCCGAGTTTCATCAACACAGGGCAGCAGCTGCTTCAGTGTGATCACAGAACAGGGTCACTTCAGAAGCCGCTGGCCCCGATTGGCAACCCCATCGGTGACCGTGACATTGTGCCCCTTGGCTGCTCAGAGTACAGGCATCCCCTTATTCCACACATAGGCTCCTAAAGGCTTCTCTTCCTGGCACCACCCAGTGTCCCATGTGCAGCCGCAGGGCACCCACCTCTTCAGAATGTGCGAGAGCCCAGAGCCAACTCCAGCTCTTGTGGCTGCAGGATGTGTGTGGCCCTAGGTAGTGTTTGTGGCCCAGACAGGGCGTGACCAATGAATCTTATGCACTCTTCTCTTCCGACGGCAGGAAACTGCGCCCTTCGGAGATGCGGTGCTGGCCACGTGGGACACCTGCATTGGAAGTGAGATCTGTGAGGAGCTCTGGACACCCCACAGGTGAGCCCCATGCCCCTGTGCTGTCCGATCACCCACCTCACATGGGCCAGCTGGGAGGACCTGGGACTGCAGACCTCCTGGGGCCATCGGCCGGGAGCTGCCATGGGAAAGTGTGAGGGGCCGCCCGGGAGGCTGGGTTAGAGGAGTCTGGTGGCCTCTTCTCTTCACCTGCCTCTGCCCGCAGCCCGCACATCGACATGGGCCTGGATGGAGTGGAGATCATCACCAATGCCTCGGGCAGTCACCACGTGCTGCGCAAAGCCAACACCAGGGTGGATCTTGTGACTATGGCCACCAGCAAGGTAGGGGTTGGGCGAGGGAGCGTGCACCATGGGGTAGGCACTGCATCTCAAGCACTCCTGCATCCTCAGTGCCCATTGCAGGGCTGGGCCCACACAAGATGGACGTTCCGGGCTTGTAATTACGGCCTGGACTCAACAAGTGTGCCCTGCTGCCCCCCGGGGCTTCGCTGGCACAGCCCATCTCACCCGCGCAGCTACCCCAGGAAGCCGACCCCGTCACCCTCCCTGCTGTGACCAGGAACCAGGACGTGCTCCTTGTTCGTTGGCATGATGGCGGGGCGTAGGGAACACCCGTATGTTTGCTGCTCCTGCTCTTGGGCAGTGAGACGTGCAGCCGGCGGTGCTGGTTCGTCCTTCACGTTGCAGGTGTGGGTTTAGCTGAGCCGCGTTTGAATCTTGGCTTCATCACACGGAGCTTTCTTTGGCTTGTCTGAACCTCATCATGCCTCAGAGAGGTGACGGGGTCTGCCTTGTAGGGTTGTTATGAAGCAAAAACACATGTTTTACGAGGAGCCTGGCGCCTAGCAAGGCCAGGCTCGCCGCAGCTTCACGGGTCTGTGCTTCCCTACACCTGCGCGTTATCTCGGCGGTGGTGGGGCCGCTCATGATGACCTCGCGGGACTGGGGGGACGTTCCTGTACGCGGGCAGGTGGCAGGCGAGGGCGGTGGACCACAGCTGACCACTCTGCTGTGGGCTCTGCCTTTTCCAGAACGGTGGGATTTACTTGCTGGCCAACCAGAAGGGCTGTGACGGGGACCGCCTCTACTACGACGGCTGCGCCATGATCGCCATGAACGGAAGCGTCTTCGCTCAAGGATCCCAGTTCTCTCTGGATGACGTGGTAATGAACGGGCCTGGACGTGACTGGGGGAGGGTTCCCTGTGCAGAGGCCGAGCTCCTGGCCCTCCCCTCTAAGCCGGGTGCTTAGTGAGGTCCCCTGTGGAGAAGCCCCCGGGGGTCCCGCCCGCTCTGATGGCCTCTGATTTACCTGGTTGGTGAGGGGGGAACCTCCCACCCTCGGGTCTGAGGATAGCCGAACCCCGACACACGGCACATGGTACTGGACGGTTGAGGTTGTAGGCAGCTTACGAGTTCTGCGTACCCACAGTGCGGGAGGAGGGCTCCGTGCCCCGCAGGGCCAGGTGGGAGTGCACTCAGGAACCAAGGGGACAGCCCGCGGTGGGAGGCAGGCTCTGTGGTGCCCAGAGGACGGGTGCCGCCTGGCGCTGTGGTAGGGTGGTGTTGGTTTGTTGGAATTCCAAGGGCTGGCAGGGAACCAGAGCCGCTCCTTTGAAAGGAGCAGACTCCATGGCCCCCGAGACAGGTCTAGGGATCCCGTGTTTGGTGAGGGGGCCTTATCCTCAGGAGCAGAGCCGTCAGGGGAGCTCATGGTGAGGCCGTTTAAGGCCCCGCCATTCTTCCCCGGGTGCTGAGGCCACATATACTCATCTAAGGCCTTACACCACGCTGTCCCTGAGTCCGGGGAAGCAGGAGTGGAGACCCCAGGACACTCTGGTCAGCGAGGCTTTGTTCTATGGGGCTCTCTGAGCACACAGTGGCCAGCTGCGTGAGGGACAGCCCTGGGGAAGCTGTGAGTTACAGGTTGGAAGCGCCATTGCTATCCTGAAGCGACACAGATATGTGGGTGCTCAGAGGAAGGAGATAACAGAGAACAAAGCTAAGAACCTTGCCTGGCACAGTCCTCACCAGCAACTGAGCTGCCGCTTGGAATGGGGTTCAGGACCTTGTTGGAGCCCCAGATTCCTTTGGGAAGCTGATGAAAGCTCTGCACGTTCTGCGTCTAAAGATGCGCATTAGCACGGGGCAGGGCTTCCCAGGTGATCGTTACGGTGATGGGCGCGAACTTCCTCCACAGAGAAGAGACCACAGGTGGAAAGTCCTGGGAGAGGTTTGGGCCACTCTTCCTTTCAGTTTTTTGTTTGTTTGTTTGTTTTTGAGACGGAGTCTCGCTCTATTGCCCAGGCTGGAGTACAGTGGCACGATCTTGTCTCACTGCAACCTCCGCCCCTCGGGTTAAAGCAATTCTGCCTCAGCCTCCCGAGGAGCTGGGACTACAGGCGCCTGCTGCCACACCCGGCTAATTTTTTGTACTTTACTTAGTAGAGACAGGGTTTCACCGTGTTGCCCAGGCTGGTCGCAAACTCCTAAGCTCAGGCAGTCCACCCACCTCGGCCTCCCAAAGTGCTGGGATTACAGGTGTGAGCCACCGCACCCGGCCTCCCTTTCGGTTTTTGAAGCAAACAAGAAAAAACGAGCTGTTATTGCCAAAAATGGAAATCAATCCCGAGTGCACAAATACAACAAAAAGTAACTTTTAGTTCTGCCCCAAGCCGACGTGGGTGGGAGCATCCCCACTCTCGGGCTCAGACCCCTCGCGGGTCCCCAGCGCTCCCTCCCGCACACAGCGTCGCCAGACTCGCCTTTGGACACTACGGCGTTCCACTCTACTCTTGTTGGGGACCGGCATTAAAGCGTCGGATTCACCGAGGCAGGTGGTAGCACAGGACACGAGTTCTGCAGCTGGCTTCGCAGGAGCAGAGCGAGCCTGTGTCCTGGCGTCACCGACTCTGAGAGGCTGGCTGAGCGGTTTCGTTGCTTTGCTGCCCCTGCATTCCCATCCTCACAATTCTGTCTGGTGCTTTCCGCACAGCATAGGCGCGGTCAGCACGGAGGCGGTTACGAAACCAAACCAGTTTCAGAGTGGACCGAGTGAACTTCACCCTGAAAAAGAATTCCACGGTCTTTTCAGGGGTTTCTTGCACAGGGGGCAGGCAAGGATGTGGCCGTCTCAACTCCAGGCCCTGCTTTCCACGTGACAGCGTCCCTGCAGGCCTCCTTGCTCTTCATCGTTAACCACGACAGAGCTGGAAGGGCTTTGAAGAGAAGGATTAAGTTTCTGCTGATGGGAAGTGTGGTCCTCTCCCCGTTCCCCACGCCACAGCCACAGGCACGTTGGCGGTCGTGTTGATTGGCAGGTGTGTTGGGAATCACCTGCCCCAGGACCCCCGCAGGTTCCTGGCCCCACATCAAGCCCCCGAACCGGAGTCTTCAGGGGTCTGCATTTTTAGTGAGCACTAGGCAGTTGTTTCATGCACTAGAATCCAGGAGCTGTTGTCTCTAGAATTCCTGATGTGGCCCGAGATCTCTGTCCTAGGCTACAGCCACAGGTCTGCTGCATTGAGAGTGGCAGTGCTGTCCTCAGGCTCAGGACACTGCCCTCTGCCAGGTCCTCCGTGGTGCACCTGAAATCATCAACAGAAGTCTTGTGACACGTGGAATCATTTGAGAGTCTCCCCTTCTGCCTCCCGCTCGAGCAACAGACCCGCCGATCCCCCTCGTCGGGCCCATGTTTCTTAGGGTCTTCCTAATCCCCTGGGCTTTCCGGCTTGTTGTGTACCTGGAGTCAGGCTGCAATATGGAAGGCTGTTAACCTAGCCTTGGGGAGAGTGGGATGGAGCCACCTTCTCATGGAACAATCCTCACCTCCCCCATCTCCATTGTTTTATGGCTTCACACTTACCGTGGCTTTCTGCATGGAAGCTTGGTGGCCACAGTGCCATCACTTTGGAAAGCAGCCAGGGAACCACAGGATGCGTGAATCGGTCTCCTTGTCTTCATGGGCATCTCCAGCCAGGTCTGGCCCCCTGTTACAGCAGTAGGAGTGAGGGGCGCGCAAGGTGGCCACGGCCATCCTGTGAACCACCACAGTGGTGCAGGTGCTGTTCCCGCTGTCCCACGCTTGCGTTTAGCAAGGCAACACTCAGGAACACAATTTGATAAAGGTATTTTTTCATGAAGGAATAACCCCTGAGTTAAAACCTCATTTCTGCATACACTGCAATTGGCAGAATCCCCCACAGCCAGGTTCAAAGGCAAGGCAGTGTCACCTCCTGTGACACAGGCAGCACGTCCGGGCCAGGACCCTGGCATGGATACTGGGCCTGTGGCTCTGCCTCTGCCCTCCCCCAGCTCCGCCCTCCTCTGTGTTTGGCCTCATTCTCAGGTTGTCCTCCAGCTCCGCCCTCCTCTGTGTTGGCCTCAGTCTCAGGTTGCCTCTCTTCTTGGGCACGGGATGTTTGCAGCAGCTCCAGCCATCCCATCTTCACACAGCCACATGCAGAGGCAGCAAAGGGGCCCTGGCTCCCTGTGTGTCTTTTTGATGAGAGGGACATTCCCAGAAGTCCCCTGCAGAGGCTTACTGACAGGGGGGTGTCTTACTGACGGGGGGGTGTCTTACTGACAGGGGGGTGGTCTTACTGACAGGGGTGTCTTACTGACGGGGGTGTCTTACTGACGGGGGGGATGTCTTACTGACAGGGGTGGTCTTACTGATGGGGGTGTCTTACTGACAGGAGGATGTCTTACTGACAGGGGGGTGTCTTACTGACGGGGGGGTGGTCTTACTGACAGGGGTGGTCTTACTGGTGGGGGTGTCTTACTGACAGGAGGATGTCTTACTGACAGGGGGGTGTCTTACTGACTGGGGGTGTCTTACTGACGGGGGTGTCTTACTGACGGGGGGTGTCTTACGGGGGTGTCTTACTGGACGGGGGGTGTCTTACCTGACAGGGGGGTGTCTTAGTGAGGGGGGGGGTCTTACTGACAGGGGGGTGTCTTACGGGGGCTGTCTTACTGACGGGGGTGTCTTTACTTCACAGGGGGCAGGTGTCTTACTGACAGGGGGGTGTCTTACTCACAGGGGGGTGTCTTACTGACGGGGGTGTCTTACTGACAGGGGGGTGTCTTACTGACGGGGGTGTCTTACAGGGGGGTGTCTTACTGACGGGGGTGTCTTACTGACCAGGAGGTGTCCTACTGACAGGGGGGTGTCTTATAGGGTGGTGTCTTGTGCCGTGATTAGTGGGTCACTGGCAAGTGTCTGAATGCAGTGGAGGTTCTGGTGGCAACAGTGAGGGGGAAGAGCTGTGGGTTGGCCTCAATGTCATCTGTCCCATCCCTGGGCCCCCAGGAATTCAGGGGTCTCAGCCCCTGCTTTAGAAGGTGTGACACACCTTTGACAGCGGCCAATTTACACGTGGGAGTGGAATAAACGGGAAATCACGGGTTCTCTTTGAAATTTCCTTCCCCAGGAAGTCCTGACGGCCACGCTGGATCTGGAGGACGTCCGGAGCTATAGGGCGGAGATTTCATCTCGAAACCTGGCGGTGAGTGCTGCAGTAGACAACTGTGTGGGACGCTCCTCAAAGATGTGGCAAGTGGCCCCATTCGTGCGGGCCTGGTGGCGGCCATGAGAGTGCAGTGCCTGAAAAGTCCACCGGGAAGTTCCGGACTTCCCAAGTATGGAAAGGGCTGGTGCTGTAGACGGAACCTGCTTCCATCGCTTCCCCATCATCCTCTGCTTGAGCCAGGCCCTGAGCTGGGGTGAGCCGGGGACAGGCAGGCGGAGAGGCCGACGAGACGGTCAGTGTGCTAGGGGCTGCCACACAAGGAAGACCCAAGCAGCCTTGGAGCCCAGGAAGGCCTCAAGGTGGGGGGTGGCAAGCGCAGTAGAAACAGGCACACAGTGTGCAGCCAAGGCTGGTCCCCACCTCGGCAGTCGGAGGCAAGGTCCAAGGCACAAGTGAGCCTGTGTCTGAGACACTGGGATGCAAGTAACGCCCCTCCTGCAGCCCAAGGTCCTGCTGCTGGTAGCCTGGAGCTCTGCGTTTCTGCAGGATGTCATCACAAATAGGATATCCAACTGTGCAGCTGTCGTGAGACAGTGATTTTTGCAGACATTGAAGAAGTGTGATGCTCGTCACAGAGCGGACTCTTCTGCTGTTGATTGATTGACACAGGGTCTCATTCTGTCTCCCAGGCTTGAGTGCAGTGGTACCATCACAGCTCACCACAGGCTGGACCTCTGGGACTCAAGTGATCCTCCCACCTCAGCCTCCCAAGCAGCTGAGACAACAGACACATGCCACCATGCCCAACTAGTTTTTAATTTTTTTCTTTTGTAGAGACAGGGTCTCACTATGTTGCCCAGGATGGTCTTGAACTCCTGGGCTCAAGCAATCTTCTCACCTTGGCCTCCCAAAGTGTTGGAGTTACGGGCGTGAACTACCACACCCAGCCTTTGTTTTCATAGCAGTTTTATTAAGTCATATTTGCCATACCACCCAATGTATCCATTTAAGCACCCAATTCAGTGCTTTTTCGGGTTCTCATGGAGTTATGCAGCCACAATCTTAGCGCATTTTCATTACCCCAAAAAGAAACTCCACCCCGTTCCCCTCCTCCGCCCCTGACAACCACAAGTCTACTCTCTGTCTTCATGAATTTGCCTATTCTCGACGTTTCATTGGGATGAAATCACATAGCGTATGGCTTCCCACACTTTACTGTGCTGTTTTCAAGGTTTATCTATGTGTCGGGTGCAGCCACCCCTCGGTATCCACAGGGGTTGGATCCGGGAGCCTCAGCCTCCACCGATCCCCTGCAGGGATGCCTGTGTCCCACAGTGCCCCCTGCAGAGCTCACTGACACGAACAGTCAGCCCTCTGTATCCATGGGCTTCAGATCCCGCGATTACCGTATCTTCTGTGTGCGGTTGAATCTGCGGGTGTAGAACCCACAGATACAGGGAGCGACTGTAGTTCATCCCTTTGTGTGGTCAGAGCGTGTTCTGTAGCGGAGATGGACACGTTGTGTTTATTCACTCATCCACTGATGGGCATCAGTAATGCTTCCACTTTCTGTCTATCGTGAATAATTCTGCTACAAACATACATGTACTTTTGTTGGAGGGAACACGTGTTTTCATTTCTCTTGGGTGTGTCTATCCAGGAGTGGAATTGGCTGGGTGGGTCTTATGGTAACTCTGTTAGCCATTTTTTATGGTTTTTTTTTGTTGTTGTTGTTGTTGTTTGAGACGGAGTTTCACTCCAGGCTGGAGTACAACGGTGCGATCCCGGCTCACCACAACCTGTGCCGCGTGGGTTCAAGCAATTCTCCTGCCTCAGCCTCCTGAGTAGCTGGGATTACAGGCGCCCACCACCATGCCTGGCTAATTTTTGTTTTTTTAGTAGGGACGGGGGTTTCATCATATTGGTCTGTCTGGTCTCGAACTCCTGGCCTCAGGTGATCCACCTGCCTCGGCCTCCCAAAGTGCTGGGATTACAGGTGTGAGCCACCACCCCTGGCTCTGTTGAGCCTTTTGAGGAGCTGCCAGAGCATTTGCCACACGGCTGCACCGTGGTGGGTTCCAGGCAGCCGGGTATGAGAACCCCGGTTTCTCACCCCTCACGAACACCTGTTGCCATTGGTCGTTTTGCTCCTCGCCATCCTTGTGGCAGTGAGGGCGGCCTCGCTGTGGTTTTGACATGGCTGATGGAGTCCTGCTTCCCTGTCGGTCCCGGGGACCCAGAGGGTTTCCATGAAGCTGGGAGTCATCCTGTCTGAATCTCCATTGCCAGGCCAGCAGGGCGAGCCCCTACCCCCGAGTGAAGGTGGACTTTGCCCTCTCGTGCCATGAGGACCTCCTGGCACCCGTCTCTGAGCCCATCGAGTGGAAATACCACAGCCCTGAGGAGGAGATAAGGTGTGTGGCCCCGACCCCTGGGAAGGACCTGGCATCCGCGTGGCCACACCTCTGGGGTGGGGACTCCTGGAGGTCACGCAGTGGGTTTTCAGAACCTGCCTGGGTGGAGACTTGGCAGGAGGCAGCTGTGCCTCCCCTGGGTTGAGGGCATGGATGCTGGAGCCAGACCTCCTGGGTGTGACCCCCAGTCCTACTCCTTCCCCGTGCTGTGACCTTGGGCCCCAAGGCACTGTCCTTTCTGTGGCTCAGTGTCCCCATTTTAAAATGAGGATGATGATAATACCCACGTCCCGGGGCTGTCTTTGGAATCACATGCGTCCCTTCTCACGAGGTGCCTGAAGCAGAGACGGGCGTCCTGAGAGCCCAGCGTTGACTCCGGCACTGCAGCCTCCTGGGGCCTGCTTGGGTGGGTTGTTGGGGGCTGTGGGCCGGGGCGTCCGCCTCCGGGCTCCATGTTCTGATTGCCCTGCAGCCTTGGACCTGCCTGCTGGCTCTGGGATTTTTTAAGACGAAGCCAACAGGTAAGACTTCCAGTTTCTAGTGAGCCCACTTTGCTTGTTCTACTGGTTGGTCTGGTTTTATTCTGGGGCAGGGTAGGGATTTTTTCTTTTTTTTTTTAATGCAAATGACAAAAAGCATTTCATCACTCTGCCTCCATGGTGAGCTTAGTCTGCACTAGCCAGAGGCAAGGTGGACACAGTGGCTGGTGGGTCGGCTCCACCTTTGGAGGCTCGGCAAAACCCAGCCTGTCGGCATCCAGGGTCACGCTCGCCATCTCGCCAGCATTGTAACCCCACGTATCTGCAGTTCATCAGTGGAATCAGCTCAGACACGCCCCACAGCAAAGTGTCTCTTTTCCCTCTGAAAAATCCATTAATCCTGCCACGTGTGGGCATTTGTCCTGACCCCGTGGCAAGTGCCGACACCCATGTGCATTTCTGTGGACGCCTCCTTGAGGTCTGTGGGTGGAGCTTGGCTGGTCCGTGGGCATGCCGCTTCTCCGAGGCTCTGCTTACACTGTGTTTGGTTGGTCCATTCCAGGGGGGGTTTTTGCTGCCCCTGAGTGGCGGGGTGGACAGCGCAGCCACCGCCTGCCTCGTCTACTCCATGTGCTGCCAGGTCTGCAAGTCTGTGAGGAGCGGAAGTAGGTGACATCTGTTGGCTTGAGGGAGGCTCCAGGGTCCAGCCCTTGGGCTACCTGAGTCTGGGACCCAGGAGGGGGCAGAGGAAACACCCATGCCGTGGACATCGGGGTGAAAGGGGCTTTGTGGCCACGCACAAATGTCACAACGTCACATCCCAGTGCTGCAGCCAAGGCAGCAAGGCCATCAGCAGCTTCCTGGAGCTTTGGGCCTATGTGGCTGAGTCTCCAGAGCTGCACCTGCCTGCTCTGTGCGCGGTGTGGCCTGGTGGAGAGAACACAGGCGTTGGAGGTTCACATCCTCCCCTGTGTGATATGGTATCGGACATCATCTTAGCATATGCAGCAGAACAGGGGTGACGATGCCCGTCGGATGGGGCTGTGGGCCATAGCGTGGGCTGGCGCTACACAGGCGCCTGGGGGTGTAGACCGGGGTGGAGTTGCACGGGCACCTGGGGGTGTAGACCGGGGTGGAGTTGCACGGGCACCTGGGGGTGTAGACTGGGGTGGAGTTGCACGGGCACCTGGGGGTGTAGACTGGGGTGGAGTTGCACGGGCACCTGGGGGTGTAGACTGGGGTGGAGTTGCACGGGCATCTGGGAGCTGTAGACTAGGGTAGAACTCTGTAGACATCCCACACACTCAGGTGACTTCCACCCATTCTGTCCTGGTGGTTTTCAGATCAGGAAGTGCTGGCTGATGTCCGCACCATCGTGAACCAGATCAGCTACACCCCTCAGGATCCCCGAGACCTCTGTGGGCGCATACTGACCACCTGCTACATGGCCAGCAAGAACTCCTCCCAGGAGACGTGCACCCGGGCCAGAGAGTTGGCCCAGCAGATTGGAAGGTGGAGTTGGCCCCTGGTGCTGGGCATGGCAGGCGGCTGACAGGGCTCAGAGCCGCTGGAAGCTCTGCCTGTGAGCGCATTGGTGACTGGCTTCATTCACTCCACATCATGTCATCCACAATGTGGGCAAACGTGTCAGTGCTCCGTCCCTTTTTGTGGGTGAATAATATTCCACTGTCTACGGATAGACCAGTTTGTTTCTCCAGTCATCAGCAATTGCTTAAACGTGCATCTAGGAGTTTATCAGGGCTCCACTTTCTCTTGGTTTGAGACAGATTTCAGGGAAGTTGTGTATGAGTCCTCCCTATCTGACCCACCCGGGTCTCTGATGGTGCCTGCGATTTCCACCCTTCCGTCCCCTCACTCCTTGCATTCCCAGTGCAGGCTGCAGGTCGTATGTGCTCACCAGGGTGCACAGCAGGTCCTGGGAGTTGGCTGCGGGCTGGCTCCTACCCCTCCTCCTGTCCCTTCCCCCTGCCCTCACTCCCTCTTCCACGGGCAGTTCTCTACGTGAGGACAGTGGAGGGAGAGCACCTTTCCAGAGAAGAAAGACTGGGTTCCATCTGGAATGTTCCATCCATAATGGCTCCTAGGAGAAAATGAGCAGCTCCCCATCCTGTTTGTTGAGCTCAGCTAAAAGCTGTCCCCCTGCCCCCCAACAATTCTCCTCCTAGATATGTACTCAGAGGAATCAAAAGCAGGGACCCAAACAGATACTTGTTCAGGAAAGTCCATAGCAGCACCATTTGCAGAAGCCAAGAGGTTGGGACAACCCAAGGTCCATTTCAGATGAACGGAGGAAGAAACTGTGGTCCATTCACACAGTGGAATATTATTCACCCATGAAAAGGAGTGGAGCACGATCACGTGACACAGTGAGGAGAAACCTTGAAGACGTGGTGCGGATGAAAGGAGTGGAGCCAGCCACACCAGGCCACATGGTGTTTGATTCCATTTCCATTCCATTTCCACACAGTGTCCAGAACAGGCCACGGCACAGAGAGGGAGGGAGTCTGTCACTCTCTGCATCTGTCAGTGTCACAGCTGTCAGAGCTGGAGGAGGAGGGAGTGGGGACAGACTGCCAGTGGGATGGGGTTTCCTTCTCTGGTGATGGGAAGTTCTGAGCTGGATGGTGGTGATGGCTGCACAGCACTGTGGATTGCTAAACACCACAAATCATACACTTTAATCGGGTTACAATGGTCAGTTTTAGGTCATCAGGGCTTCACCGCACACATGCACACACACATGCACACATGCACACACACATGCACACATGCACACACACATGCACACACGTGCACATGCACACACACATGCACACACATGCACACACGTGCACATGCTGCCTTCAACACCTACCCTTCTCCCTCCAGCCACCACATCAGTCTCAACATTGATCCAGCCGTGAAGGCCGTCACGGGCATCTTCAGCCTGGTGACGGGGAAGAGCCCTCTGTTCGCAGCTCATGGAGGAAGCAGCAGGGAAAACCTGGCGCTGCAAAATGTGCAGGTGCCCCCGCCTGGGCCGGCGTCCCCTGGGGAGGTGCAGGGAGCCCTGGGACAATCACTGCAAAATGTGCAGGTGCCCCCGCCTGGGCCGGCGTCCCTGGGGAGGTGCAGGGGCCCTGGACAATCACTGCAAAAGTGCAGGTGCCCCGCCTGGGCCGGCGTCCCCTGGGGAGGTGCAGGGAGCCCTGGGACAATCACTGCAAAATGTGCAGGTGCCCCCGCCTGGGCCGGCGTCCCCTGGGGGTGGGGGTGGGGGTTCAGGGAGCCCTGGGACAATCACTGCAAAATGTGCGGGTGCCCCTGCCTGGGCCGGCGTCCCCTGGGGAGGTGCAGGGAGCCCTGGGACAATCACTGCAAAATGTGCAGGTGCCCCCCGCTGGACCGGCATCCCCTGTGGTTGGGGGTGGGGGTGCAGGGAGCCCTGGGACAATCACTGCAAAATGTGCGGGTGCCCCTGCCTGGGCCGGCGTCCCCTGGGGAGGTGCAGGGAGCCCTGGGACAATCCAAATGGCAGGGGCCTGGGGGCGTCCTGGGGGGGGTGCAGGGAGCCCTGGGACATCCTGCAGGGGGGGGGGGGGGGGGGGGGGGGGGGGGGGGGGGGGGGGGGGGGGGGGGGGGGGGGGGGGGGGGGGGGGGGGGGGGGGGGGGGGGGGGGGGGGGGGGGGGGGGGGGGGGGGGGGGGGGGGGGGGGGGGGGGGGGGGGGGGGATCACTGCAGGATGTGTCGGTGCCCCGGCCTGGGCCGTCATCTCCATGAAGGTCATGGCACAGGGAGCTCAGGGACAACTAGTGCTGGGGTCACAGCCTGTGTGCCTCACTGAAGACGTCGGTCATGCAGCCTTGTTAACAAGGAGGGGGTCTGTGTGTGTGTTGGTGCGTGAGCCTGTGATGTGTAAGAGCAAGATCGGGGGTGTAAGGGTGTGCATGCACGAGTGTGTGCACCAGCATACCAGCATGAGTGCAAGAGGAGGGTGTGAGCCTGGGTGTGAGCATGAGTGTGAGAGGTTACATGAGTGTATGAGAGTACAAGTGTGTGAATGTGAGTATGCACAAGTGTGGGTGTGCTTGTGAGTGCTTGTGCACAAGTGTGTGTGGATGTGCGAGTGAGTGTGCACAAACATGAGTGCACAATTGTGCGCATGAGTGAGTGCATGAGCATGCCTGTGAGCGTGCGGGTGGGTGGGTGTGCATGATGTGAGAGTGCACGTGGCTGTGTGTGAGTGTGTGTCTTTTTAATCCTCAGGGAAAAGCCCACACGCTGTCTGCCTCCTGGGCTACTGCACTTGACTGGGTGCTCCATGATGGGTGGAGGAGAAGAGAGGCCGAGGGCTCCCGCTGCTGGGATCTGTCCCGTCTCTCCCTGTCCCCTTTCTGCTGTGCCTTGGTGGCCCCTCCCCTCCTGCCAGTGGTAAAGGGATGGAAATGCAGTTGCCAAGCTTTCTCCCAGGGACCCCACTGCTGCCACTGATGCTCCCTCTGCCCTCTGCCCTCTGCCCTCCTGGGCTCCGGGTGCTCCCATCTTTGAAGACAAGCCCCACCGAGCTTGCGTGAGCCCTGTGGAGTTGGGACAACCCTGAGAGGAAGGCCTCGGGACACCGTGGGACTCTGAGACTCTGATGTTCCCAGAACACTAGAGAGCTCCTAAGCTGTTTTAATTTTCTTGTTTTCAAGAGTCGGTGGGTGCGCGTCTCCCGTGTGTTCCTTTGCGAGGGAACCTGTTATTTCCTCTGTTGTGTTGTCCAGGCTCGAATACGGATGGTCCTCGCCTATCTGTTTGCTCAGCTGAGCCTCTGGTCTCGGGGCATCCGTGGTGGGCTCCTCGTGCTGGGATCCGCCAACGTGGATGAGAGGTGAGTGTGGTCCAGCGGCACGTGGTGGTGGGCCCCCGCACCTCTCAGGACTCTGAGGGTGACACGCTCTGAGGGTGACTCCTGTGCCTCTCATGGCGGGTTTGGTACCTGGAACGACATCATTCCTCTAGAATTTCACCCACCCCGAGTGGCAGAGCTATGAGCATTGTGTACCTGCCAGTGGCTCTGGGTGCTCACCACTTTCATCAGCCTTGTGGTTCTTCGTCTCTCCTGCGCCTCAAATTCATCTTCCCACTGCCCTCTGCCATGGTCGGGCTCCCCTCTTTCTTCTAGGCTATTCCACTGCCTCTTCAGTCATTCCTTTGCAGCTAGTTTTTACCTCCAAACCAGAGTTCATTTTTTATGTGGACTGAAAATACTCCCCGGATAAAATTCAAGCTGCCCCTCGAGCCCAGCAGTGGAGGCTCCTAGAAATTCTTTTCCAGCCTTTGTTTCCCCACTTCCCTTAGGTGAGCCTCTGCCCCCTCAGCTCGTCTGTGCTATTCTTAGTTGCTCCTTAGGAGCTGAGGAATTTCAAAAACTATTTGTCATGTATTCATTTGTTTGTCTCTGCATCCATCTATCCATCCATCAGTTGGGCCATCCATCTATCCACCCATCCATCCATCTGTCCATTCATCTATCCATCTATGCATCCACCCATCCATATACCCACTCACCTGTCCATTCATCTACCCATCTGTCTGTCCATCCATTCATCCATCCATTCACCCACCCACCCATCTGTCTGTCCACCCACCCACCTATGACCTATCTATTCATCCATCCACCCACCCACTCACCTATCCATTCATTCACCCATCTGTCTGTGCACTCCTCCATCCATCCGTGTACCCACACATCCCTCCACCCAACTGTCCATCCACACATTCATCTACCCACCCACCTATCCATTTATCCACCCATGTGTCTGTCCATCCACCCATCTGTCCATCTGTCCACTCATCTATCCATATATTCATTCACCATTTCATCTGTCCACTTACCCATCCATCCGCCCATCTCTCCCTTTGTCCGTCCATCCACCCATCTGTCCACATTTCCTTCCTTCCATCCATCTATCCCTCCCTTTTTTCTACGGTGTGAGTGTCTTTTTTTTTGAGACAGTCTCGCTTTGTCGCCCAGGCTGGAGTGCAGTGGCGCCATCTTGGCTCACTGCAACTCCACCTCCCGGGTTCACACCATTTTCCTGCCTCCGCCTCCCTAGTAGCTGGGACTACAGGAGCCCACCACCATGCCCGGCTAATTTTTTTGTATTTTTACGAGAGACGGGGTTTCACCGTGTTAGTCTTAATGTCCTGACCTCATGATCCGCCCGCCTCGGCCTCCCAAAGGGTATAAGTGTCTTAATCACTCTGCATCCTTGTCTGTCTACAGACGTGTTCTCTTTTAAAACTGATTTTTTACTTTTAAATCCTATTTTATTGTTCTAATTACAGAAATCTGAAATTAACACCTGATACTGTGTAAACATTCTCATCCTCCTCATGCATGTTTTGATCGTTGCTTTTCTGGTGCCTCTGGTGCCTTTGTAAGGGACTGATTTTTCAGGAGGGGTGAGTGGCTGGTGTGTATTCTGAGCTCTGGTGTAGTTGAGGAGATTGATGTTTGGTTTGGTTTTTCATTGCTTTTGTAGATGCGGAAGAATTTGATCTGTTATAAAATTGTGTTACAACAGTTCCCCTCACAACTCTTGTCCATCATTTTCTAGTATTTAAAATGTTAACAAAGAAACGAGTATTTTTTCCAGGGCGGGATTGGGTTCTGGGAGCTGGAAGGTCTCTAGATGCCATTTAGAAAATAAACAAACGGGCTGGGTGCGGTGACTCACACCTGTAATCCTAGCACTTTGGGAGGCCGAGGCAGGCGGATCATGAGGTCAGGAGATCGAGACCATCCTGGCTAACATGGTAAAACCCCGTCTCTAATAAAAATACAAAAAATTAGCCGGGCGTGGTGGCAGGCGCCTGTAGTCCCAGCTACTTGGGAGGCTGAGGCAGAAGAATGGCGTGAACCTGGGAGGCGGAGCTGGCAGTGAGCCGAGATGGCACCACTGCACTCCAACCTGGGCGACAGAGCGAGACTCTGTCTCAAAAAAAAAAAAGAAAAAATAAGCAAACGTAATTCCTCAGCTGCCCCTTTCTCATTGCGGGACAGAAGGCTCTGTGGCTGCGGACACGCCCCTCATGATGTAGCAAAGCCCTTCTGTCTGTTTCACATGCCGCATCCCCGTCTGCTGTCTTCTTCTCACTGGACACAGCCAGTCCTTCTCTTCCTCTGCGTTCTGGCGAGAATCTCAAGTGTGTAGTGTTGATTTCTTTTAAATTTCCCTGTAATTCTGTTGTTGAATTGCTTCTGATTCTAGTTCCGTTGCATCCCTGTCTGCTCGTCGGGGGCCTGTTGGACACCTGTCCCCCATCAGGCTTTCTTCCCGGTGGTGTGAATGAGTCAGAAACAATTCTTGTTCTCTGCAAGTAGGAGCAGACAGCAATAACCCAGCTGATAACATGTGTGTTGTAGGAAACATCTGCCGAGAGAGCTCAAGCAGGGGAAGGGAGAGCTGGGAGTTTGTAAGCAGCTCACCCAGGGAGGGCCCTACTGAGAAGTGGGTTTCATAAAGGCCTGCAGGAGGCAAGGGTGGGTGGAGAAGAGCCCGTGAAGGCCTGAGTCGTGACTGCCCCAGGACTGAGGTTCCGTCATTGTCTCCCTGAAAGGCCTGGTCTTGAGTGGGGACTGGAAGACCCACAGAGCTGGTTTTGGAAAGTGTGCGGTGTGGGGCAGGGGGAGGTGTGAGAAGCCAGAGACAGCTGTTTCCAGAAATTTCACTTCGAAGGGGAGGGGAGGCGCAGGATAAGCGCTGCCGAGATCAGTGGGGACAGGAAAAGGAGTTTGCTTTATTATTAGAGACAGGGTCTTGCTCTGTCACCCAGGCTGGCGTGGCATGGCACCGTCACGGCTCACGGCAGCCTCGACCTCCTGGGCTCAAGTGATCCTCCCACCTTAGCCTCCCAAGTAGCTGGGACTGTAGGCACACCACCACGCCTAATTTTTTTTTGTTTCCGCTCTGTTGCCCAGACTGGTCTCCATTTGTTTTCTTGCCTTAAAATGCTGTAAAGAAAAGACCAACAGAGAGGGGGTGGACTTGCTGGTGCGGAGCAGTGGAGATGTTACTGGCGAGATGAGAGCAGGTGACCAAGCAGGAGCGTGGCTTTGCTGGGGGCCCGGCCAGTGCATCCCCAGCAGCAGGAGGGGTGGGTTCAGAGGCAGGCCCAGCAGAAGGTTCCAGAGGGAGCAGGAGGGGAGGGGAGAGTGAAGCCAGCCCTGCGGGGTTAAGTTGGGGTTAGCACGGGAATGCAGGGCTGAGAGACTGTGTTGAAAGTGGGCATCTAACAACATGATTTCGGCTGCTGGAAGTGACCAGCCTCGGGGAAAGCTCCATGCAGAGCGCGAGAGGAGGGGACAGCTGCTGGAACTCGGTGGTCCTGTGTTGAAATTTATGGCCACGCCTGTTGCTGGCTTCAGAGTCTCACCAATCCACCAAATCAGTCTCGATTTCACCAGAAAAAGTCTGCCTCAATTTTCCCCCTATAACCGTGCCTCCCCATCCCCGTGGTCCCCAACCTCCCAGCCAGAGTTTCCTTCCGCCAAGGCAAGGCAGCGTCCTGGCCCTGTGGGTCTGCAGGTTGAGCTGAGCTCTGCACTGCGGGATTTCGCCTGGCTGTGCTCTCTGAGTCAGCCCAGGCGGATTTCCCCAGTCCTGGGCAGTCACTGGGGATGGAAGAGAAAAGGTGGTAAGATGGAGACTGTCATCTCCCCTGGCCCGTCTGGCCCATATCCCAGCTCCTGCTAAAGGACCGTTGGGCGGGACAGGACAGGGAGTGATGGGGCGACTGGGACAGCCCCCACTGAAGGCAGCACAGGGTCTCACTTGTCCCTGTGTGGGGACCCTGGAGGTCTTACACCCCCCGACATTGCTCCACGGTGAGGGTCTGGAAGGGTGAGAAGGTGTGGAGGTGTGAGTTTGAGAGTGTCGAGAAATGCCTCTGGTGGGGTAGGCAGGGGCCAGTCTGGAAGGCCTTGCAAGGTCAAGGGCAGCATTGAGAGGATTCAGACGGTGGAAGGGCCTGGCCTGGCCTGGTGTGGCGGAGATGGGTGGTCAGCCAGGAGTCCCGTGGAGAACCTGGAGGCCTGTGCCAGCGGTGGCAGTGGGGTGGGGTGGAGAAGGGCGGCTGGAACCCAGTACCACTAGGTGAGTGCCTTCAACAACACACATTTATGGTCCCTCAGTTCTGTGGGACGCACGTCCAGTATGGGTCCCCTGGCTCAAGTTAAGGTGTGGACGTGGTGGGTTCCTTCTGGACGCCCCAGAGAGAATCTGTTTCCTGCCGTTTCCAGGCTCTGGAGTCCTGCCTTCTTTGGCTCACGACCTCCTCCGTCTTTACCACCAGCGGCCCCGCGTTTCTGTCTTTCCCCTGCAGTCAGGGCTCCCTCGACTCTCATTTTCACCCCCTTCTTTTAAGGACCCCTGTGATTGCCTTTCGGGGCCACCCTGCAATCCAGCATCACCCCCACATCTCAAGTCCCCACCTGAGTCCATCTGCAAAGTCCCTTTTGCCCTGTGCGGTGACAGAGTCACAGGTTCTGAGGATTAGGACGTGGGCATCTTAGTGAGGGATGGATTCTTCTGCCGATCGCAGGCCTCAGAGTTGACAGGCAGGGGAAGGGCCCGGCCGCATGGGCAGCAGAGTGTCCGTCCACGTGTGTCGAGTCCCTGCTCACTCCCGACACCCCAAGACCTCTATCCCTCAGCTCTGTTCAGACGGCTGCTCCCAGCTCCGTGCTGGTGACCCCCAAAACCTGCCTGCCATCCCCGTTGTCTCCTCTGGTGTGCTCAAAGGCCCTCCTGGGTCATCTGCAGCCTCTGCCACCTTTGCGGGTTGCTCTGGGACTTCTCCAGGAGGCTTGAATTTGCCACACCTCTGGCTTCAGGGCCCCTGGAAGAAGCAACTCCATGGACGGCTGGGGTTGATGGAATCTGCGGCCCCTCGGGAACCCGCGCTCTCTCTCCCTCTCCCTGCAGTCTCCTGGGCTACCTGACCAAGTATGACTGCTCCAGTGCAGACATCAACCCCATAGGCGGAATCAGCAAGACAGACCTGAGAGCCTTCGTCCAGTTCTGCATCGAGCGCTTCCAGCTTACTGCCCTGCAGAGGTGAGCGTGCTCACGGGCTGTGGCTCCACAGCCACGGGGCTCCTCTCCCAGCACGGGCCTGGCCACCCTGGCCCACACTCAGGCTCCTTCATAGCTCCTGTTGCCTGCTGAATAGTCCTGCCCTTGAGCTGGCACTTGAGGCCTGTGACCAAGCCTCCCTTTCTTCCTGTGGGTGCCTCCACAGCCCCCCGACTCCGGCCAGATCACGGATCTGCGGCCTCCTGCCTTCCCCGCCTGCCCTGCCTCCCTTCCCCAGGCCGAGGCTTGGCGGACCGAGGCTCGCCACATCTGAGCAGAGCACCTGTGCTTTAGAAGTGACAGAAGACGGGGCCGGGCGCGGTGGCTCAAGCCTGTAATCCCAGCACTTTGGGAGGCCGAGATGGGTGGATCACGAGGTCAGGAGATCGAGACCATCCTGGCTAACACGGTGAAACCCCGTCTCTACTAAAAATACAAAAAACTAGCCGGGCGAGGTGGCGGGCGCCTGTAGTCCCAGCTACTCGGGAGGCTGAGGCAGGAGAATGGAGGGAACCCGGGAGGCGGAGCTTGCAGTGAGCTGAGATCCGGCCACTGCACTCCAGCCCGGGCGACAGAGCGACACTCCGTCTCAAAAAAAAAAAGAAGTGACAGAAGACGGATCAGTGCCCAGACCTTTCCTCGGCCTTTGCCAAGGTTTCCTGCCACGGGAATGTGTTTTCTTCTCTGCTTATTGTCACTGGGGTGACTGTGCCCCCCAGGGGACAGCAGGCAATGTCTGCAGACATGCTTAGTTAGCTTCACCACACGGGGTGTGCTGGGCATTAGCAGGTAGAGGCCAGGGGTGCTCCTCAACATCGTGCCGTGCACAGGCCATTGACATTCCCTACAGCAGAGTCCCCTCGACCCGGGTGTGGACAGTGCCCGGTGGACTGGCCCTGCACTGTGCCTCCACCTCTGCCTCCCCTCCTGGGGTCGGGAGGCCGCAGCAGTGACCACGCTCCTCAGGCCAGGGTGCTCACCCCTGCTGGGAAGCCCAGCACCGCAAGCCTCGGTGATGTCCTGCCCAGGGTGAACGGAGTGACCAGGGCCAGCACTCTCGGGAAACTTAGTTTGGGGATTCTCTCCGAGAGCTCACACCACCCTCGCAGCTGCACTGACCCACCTCTGTGTGTTTTGGCTGCAGCATCGTGTCGGCGCCGGCCACCGCAGAGCTGGAGCCCTTGGCTGATGGACAGGTGTCCCAGACCGACGAGGTAATGGCAGTGGCTTTGCCACGGCGCTTCCTGCCCTCCTCCCCACCTCCTGCATGGTGGTGCTGGCTCTTCCAACCTCCCTCCTGACCCCAGGAGCTGTGCTCCATCACTGTCACTGGGTCCCTGGCCTGGGTGCCCAGGGCTCAGTGTCAGTCACATCGCTGGCCTTTGACACTTCAATTTACTTTCTCATGGTTGGGGCCCCAGAACGGGGATGACATGGTGGGAGGGGAGGGAGAGCATATGGCGGGCGGAGGAACACAAGTCCCTCGCAGGCAGGAGGGGCGTCTCTGCTTGTGCTTTAGAGTGACCTAGGAGGAGAATCGCCCTTGACTCCTCCACTGCACACTGGCCCTTCATGATGAGGCCCAGGCTGTGGTTTGTAGCTTAATGGATGCTGGGAGAAGTGGCTGTGGGCTTTTTGTGATAAGATCCATGACACTCCAGCCTCTTAGGTTACAAGGACTTGCTGCTATAATTTCTTCCAAGCGTTTTCTAGTTTTCATCCTTACATTTAGGTCTGTGATCTAGTTGAGTTACTTTTGTGTGTGGTGTGAGGAAGGGGTTCAGTTTCATTCCTTTGCATGTGAACATCCAGTGGTCCTAGCACCATTTGCTGAAAGGATGATTCTTTCCCACATTGATTTAGCTTGGCACCCTTGTTGTAAATGTAGGATTTATTTCTGGACACTCAATTCTGTCCCACAGATCTTTTCTGTTTTTCCTTATGCTGGTCCCACACTGTCCTGATTATTATAACTTTATAGGAAGGATTTTGGCTACTCTGAGCCTCTTGAATATCCATATGAATTTTGAGATCAGCTTGTCAATCTCTGGAGAAAAAAAAAAAGCTTGCATTTTGATGGAGATTGCATTGACACTGTAGATCAGTTTGGGGAGTTCTGCCATCTTAATCATAAGAACTCTTTGGATCCATGAACATGGGACATGGAATGTCTTACTTATTTAAGTTGTCTCTAATTTTTTTTTTTTTTTTAGACAGTGTCTCACTCTGATTCCCAGGCTGGAGTTGCAGTGGCGCAATCTCAGCTTACTGCAACCTCCGCCTCCCTGGCCCAAGCAATTCTCCTGCTTCAGCCTCCTGAGTAGCTGGGATTATGCATGTGCATCACCACGCCTTGCTAATATTTTGTATTTGTAGTAGAGATGGGGTTACACCATGTTGGGCGAAGCATGAAGCCTCAAACTCCTGGCCTCAAGTAATCTGCCCACCTTGGCCTCCCAAAGTGCTGGGATTACAGGAGTGAGCCACTGCGCCCGGCCTCTAATGTCTTTCAACAATGTTTTTTTCTAGTTTTCAGAATTTAAGGTTGCACTTCTTTTGCCAAATGTATTTCAAAATATTTTATCGTTTTTGATACTCTGGTGAATGGAGTTGTTTTAATAATTTCATGTGTAGGTTGTTCATTGCTACTTTATAGAAAAACACTGTTGATTTTTGCATATTGACCATATACCCTGCACCTTGTTGAGCTCATGTATTAGTGCTCAGAGCTTTTTAGTAACCTCCTTAAGATTCCGATTTACAGGGTCATGCCGTCGCAGCTAGAGAGAATTTCTGCCAAGCCTGATGATCCTAACCCAGGGCAGGCCCAGGCTGATCGACGTGTTTGTGTTACTAGTTTTTAACAACAAATGTTAAAAAGCAAAATAAAAAAATCTTTTTTTAATAGAAAGAAGCTTATAGAATAAGAAAAAATATTTTTACAATTAGATCCATGACCCTCCAACTTCCTTAGGTCACAAGGATTTGCTCCTATAATTTCTTCCAACAGTTTTATCATTTAAGTCCTTATGTTTAGGTCTGTGAGCCAGTTAATTTTTGTGTGTGGCAGCTGACAGTGTATTTGTGTTTTAAGCTGTTATTATAAGAGTCAATTTTTTTTTTAATTAAAAAGTTTATAAGGTAAGGCTGAGCGCGGTGGCTCACGCCTGTAATCCCAGCACTTTGGGAGGCTGAGGTGGGCAAATCACTGAGGTCAGGTGTTCAAGACCAGCCTGGCCAACATGGTGAAACCCCATCTATACCAAAGAAATACAAGCAAAACAAAACAAACAAACAAAAAAAGTGTATAAGATATAAAGGTTACAATAAGCTAAGGTTAATTTATTATTGAAGGAAGAAAAATATATTTGTATTAATTGACTGTAGCCTAAGTTTACAGTGCTTAGACAGCCCAGAGTAGCATCCCAGGCCTTCCCATTCACCCACCACTCACTCCCTGACTCACCCAGAGCGGCTTCCAGTCCTGCAAGCTCCAGTCCTGGGAAGTGCCCTATGCAGGTGTCCCATCTTTTATCCTTTCTACTGTATTTTTACTGTCCCTTTTCTACATTTAGATACATAAATACTTAGCATTGTGTTAGACTGGCCCAGAGTATTCAGCACAGCAACATGCTGTGCCCGTGTGTAGCCGAGGAGCTCAGACTGTGCCATGGAGCATAGGCGTGTAGGAGGCTAGACCATCTGGATGTGTGTAAGTGCCTTGAGGATGTTCACAAGATGCAGTGGCCTGGCCGTGTGTTTCTCAGACCGTATCCCTGTCATTAAGTGATGCGTGCCTATCTTTCTTGACGATCCATTGATTTCTTTTGTTTTGTTTTGTTTTTGAGATGGAGTTTTGCTCTTGTTGCCCAGGCTGACTGGAGTGCAGTGGTGCAATCTTTGCTCACCGCAACCTCCGCCTCCCGGGTTCAAGCAAGCAGTTCTCCTGCCTCAGCCTCCCAAGTAGCTGGGATTTACAGGCATGTGCCTCCATGCCCGGCTAATTTTGTATTTTTAGTAGAGACGGGATTTCTCCATGTTGGTCAGGCTGGTCTTGAACTCCTGACCTCAGGTGATGCGCCTGCCTCGGCCTCCCAAAGTGCTGGGTCTACAGACCCACCGCGCCCGGCCTCGCCATTGATTTCTGTAAAGTCACTAAGGTGTCTCTTTCATTACGGATTTTAGTTGAGTCTTCATTCTTTTTTCTTGGTCATTTTAGCTAAAGGTTTGTCAATTTTTTTTTTGTCTTTCCAAGCATAACTTTTTGTTTTGTTGATTTTCTCTATTGTCTTTCATTAATTTCCCTCCAATCTCTGCCATTTCCTTCCTTGTGCTGGCTTTGGGTTTCATTTGCTCTTCTTTTTCTAGTATCCCAAGGTGGAAAGTTAGGTTATTGATTTGAGATCTTTTTCTTTTTTAAGGTAGGTGTTTACAGCTACAAGTTTCCCTCCTAGCACTGCATTCAGTGCCTCCCATACGTTTTGGTCTGTTGTGTCTTCATTTCATTTATCCAAGTATTTTCTGATTCCCTTGGTGACTTCTTTGTTGATCCATTGATTATTTAGGAATATGCTCTTTAATTTCCACGTATCTGTGAATTTCCAAAATTTTTGTTACTGGATTTGTACTTTTATTCCATTGTGGTGAGAAAGCACTTTGTATGACTTCCACATTTAAAGTTGTCTGAGGCCTCTCTCGTGGCCCAGCAGATGGTCTGGCCTGGGAAGTGCCCCGTGTGCCCTTGGGAGGAAGGCGGGTTCCGCGGCCGCTGGGTGCAGCGCCCTGCAGCCGTGTGCCAGGCCTCCCTGCTTGACAGAGTTGTCTGTATCTTCCATTTCCTTGTTGATTTTTCATCTTAGTTGTTCTGTCCATTATTGAAAGTGGGGTATTGAAGTCTCCAGCTATTGTTGAATTGAAGGAATTAAATGTCACACTGGAAAATGCTCACTTCATGGGAAAGAAACCCGTCAATCAGCTGTTTGTGCACAACCCGTCAGGTGCTGGGGACGCCGTGGTGAGCAACACAGACGTGGCCTCTGCAGTGAAAACACTTAGAGTCCCCTGGAGGGACGGACAAGAAGGCCCAGCGATGGCTGTGGCCGTACTGTCTAATGATGGCCCTGGGGTGTGGTAGGAATCCAGGGGAAATCGGAGCGGGTCTTGAACAATGGAAGGGGCCTGGGTTGTATGAGCCTCACAGTGAAATCGGCTCCTCTGAGCCTGGCTTGAGGCATTTGTTGCCTGGCGCTGTGATAGTGATACCAGCGGCACCTCATGGCCTCCAGCATGGCCCAGATTTCAGTGAGCCCCCAGTCCTCTTCTCTGAGTCCCCCACTCTTCAGGGCACGGGCTCAGGAGGGCAGCAGACAGGCTCCATCTGCTCCGTGTGCCACGCCTTCCTCGGATGATTTGTGGAGCTACTGTCACTAATGACCCAGTGGCTTAAAACAACAGGAATTTCTTCTCTCACAGATCCAGAGGCCAGGGTCTGGAATCAAGGTGTTGGCAGAGTCCTGGTCCCTCCGAAGGCTCTGGGGCAGTGGTCCCCAGTCTCTTGGCACCAGGGTTTCCTGGAAGACAACGTCTTCCACAAACAGAGGGTGGGAGATGGCTTTGGGATGAAACCGTTCCACTTCAGATCACCAGGTGGTAGATTCTCATAAGGGTCGTGCAACCTAGATCCCTCGCTTGTGCAGTTCACAGTAGGGCTCGCGCTCCTGTGAGAATCTATGCCACCGAGGATCTGATGGGAGGCGGAGTTCAGGCGATAATGCTCACTCACCCCTCCGCTCACCTCCTGCTCTGCGATCCAGATCCTGACAGGCCAGGGACCAGTACCCATCCATGGTCTGGGGGTTGGTGACCGCTGCTCTAGGGGGTCCTTTCTTGCCTCTTGCATCTTCTGGGGACTCCAGGTGTTCCTTGGCTTGTGGCTGCATCACTTCATCCTTTGCTTCCTTCTTCCTGTGGCCTCCCGTTCTCCACGTGTCCTCCTGGCCCTTATGACATCCCAATGACATACGGGATGTCATTGGATGCAGGGCCCACCCCACATTCAGAGTCATCTCACCTTCAGATTCTTTACTTAATTACATCTGCAAAGACTTTTTATCTTTTTCTCTTTTCTTCTTTTTCTTTTCTTTTTTTTTTTTAAGAGACAGGGTCTGGCTCTGTCACCCAGGCTGGAGTGTAGAGCCGTAATCTTGGCTCACTGCAGCCTCAATGTCCCGGGCTCAGGTGATCCTCCCACCTCAGCCCCCCAAGTAGCTGGGACTGCAGGTGCACACACACCTCGACACCCAGCTAGTTTTTTACTTTTTGTAGAGACAAGGTCTTGCCATGTGAAACCCCTGGGCTCAAGCAGTCCTCCCACCTCGGCCTTCCAAAGCGCTGGGATTACAAGTGTGAGCCACCACGCCCGGCCTACGCTCTTTTTCCAAATAAAGTCACATCCCCAGGAACTGGGCCTTCAGACACGAGTGCTCTTGGTGAGCCACAGGTCACGCATTGCAGTCCTCCAAACCAAATGCCTGGTTCTTCGTTGCTGTTTTCCAAATGCTGCCTCCTTACTGGCTGACCAGCGATGGGGAGCAAAGCCCACCTCTGCTCCTGCCTCCCTGGGAGAGTCTCACCTCCTGGGTCTCTGGTCCCCAACTCCAAAAGAAGCTTTAGGCTGTCCTCCCGCTGTGACTTGCTGTCACTGTGGAACGGATTTTTGTCGTGCACAGGAAGATATGGGGATGACGTACGCAGAGCTCTCGGTCTATGGGAAACTCAGGAAGGTGGCCAAGATGGGGCCCTACAGTATGTTCTGCAAACTCCTCGGCATGTGGAGACACGTCTGCACCCCGAGACAGGTAAAGCCCGTGGGACATGTCACAGAGGGAGGCCAGTTAGGTAATGTCCCCTTTGCAGAGGCCGGTTTGACCTGCAGGAACAAGTAGACAACAGTGTGACCCTAACATAATAAAACTGTGTCTCACACAGTAACACTCTCCAGTTGTTTTTACCAACTTTGGTCTTCTGCTGGCCCAAAGTTAATCTGTGTGAGGCTCACCCACAGCCAGGTAAACATGACATGAAACAAGCCCTCCCTTTTCTTTGAGGGCAGAATGTAAACCTCAGGGTCAGAATAGTATTGCTTTTCTGCTAGTTGTGAGTCTTGCCTGGGCTGAAACCCACAAGCATGGTAGTCCCATGGAACCTCCTGGAAGCCTTGTGAAATAAATCTTCGCGGGATTTATCTCAGATCTCCCGAGTCAGCATGCCATAGCATCAGAGGCGGGGGACCCCATTTTCATAGCATCAGAGTCAGGGAGACCCCGTTTTCATAGCATCAGAGGCAGGGGGACCCCAGTTTCATAGCATCAGAGATGGGGGACCCCGTTTTCATAGCATCAGAGGCAGGGGGACCCCGGTTTCATAGCATCAGAGGCAGGAGGGCCCCGGTTTCATAGCATCAGGGGCGGGGGACCCTGTTTTCATAGCGTCAGAGGCAGGGGGACCCCGTTTTCATAGCGTCAGAGGCAGGGGGACCCCGTTTTCATAGCGTCCGAGGCGGGGGACCCCGTTTTCATAGCGTCCGAGGCGGGGGACCCCGTTTTCATAGCGTCCGAGGCAGAGAGACCCCGTTTTCATAGCGTCCGAGGCAGGGAGACCCCGTTTTCATAGCGTCAGAGGCAGGGAGACCCAGTTTTCATAGCGTCAGAGGCGGGGGACCCCGTTTTCATAGCATCAGAGGCGGGGGACCCTGTTTTCATAGCATCAGAGTTAGGGGGATGCTGGTTTCATAGCTCGGCCAGCGCCCCCAGTGTGAGCCTGGGCATCCCCCATGCCTGCCACTGGGGAAGGTCCTGTGTGGGGAGTAACCCATTAACCGTTTGCTTGTGTGGTCCAGCATCGGAATTCCAGCCTGGGGTCTCTCCAGCTTTGCTAACATGAAGTTCGTGTGTTGCACGCCAACCAGGTCGCTGACAAAGTGAAGTGGTTTTTCACCAAGCACTCCATGAACAGACACAAGATGACCACGCTCACGCCCGCGTACCACGCCGAGAACTACAGCCCTGAGGACAACAGGTTTGATCTGCGACCGTTCCTGTACAACACGAGCTGGCCTTGGCAGTTTCGGTGCATAGAAAATCAGGTAAATCCAGCAGAAATGTTTCTTTCTCCATGTTTAGTGTCTGTAGAAGAAACGTGAGGTTATTTCCATGAAAGACTGAAAAACTTTCTTATATACACAGTGACTTTTTACTGTCCTCCTTTCTGCAAAGGGACAAGTATGTTTAAAGTGTTTTTTAAATTTACTTTTCTCATGATGACAAATAAAAGTTCTGTATATTGATGGTATACAACATGACATTTCGATACGAGTGTCACGGTGGAATGGCTAAGTCAAGCTCTTTCACTGTACATGCCTTACCCCACATGCCTATTATTTGTGTGTGGTGAGAGCACTTAAAATCTACTCTTTCAGCAATTTTCCAATATTAACTACAGTCACCATGTTGTGCACTGGATCTGTTGAACTTACTTCTTTTGTGGCCTTTGACCAACATCTCCCCACCCAGCAGCCCCTGGTAGCCGCCATCGCACTCTCTGCTTCCACGAGATCCCCTTTTTGAGATTCCACAGATGACTCAGACCATGCAGTATTTGTCTTTCTCTGCCTGGCTTATTTCACTTAAGATGTTCGTCTAGGTTCATCCATATTGCTGCAAATGGCAGAATTTCCTTCTTTCCGCAGGCTGCATAGTTCTCCACTGTGTGTGTGCACATATTAGGGACGTTAGGTGATGACCGGAGATGATTTTGGTTATCACGACTGGGCTAGGGTCTGTGCTCCCAGCATCCTGTGGGTGAAGCCCAGGGATGCTGCTGAATGTCCTTCCACGTGCAGGACGGGCCCATCCCAACCCCACGCCTAGCAGAGAATTCTTTGTTCCACATGTTGGTGGCGCCAAGGTTGAGGAATGCTGATGTTTGGGGCCGGAAGGTGTTTGGGGCTGCATGGTTGTAAGGAAGAGATACTGTGTCTGGCTGATTTCTGTGGAATGGAACTTGCTGAAAGAGTGACTTAGAGCGTGGAAGGGAGGGCAGGGGTCACAGGGTCTGGAAAGCTGGGACTCAGGCCAGGTGGCTGCTGCCCTATATCCCCTGCTGTGGCTGGACGAGCCCATGCGCCACACGCTGTCTGGGCTGGATGCCAACTTGCTCTGCCATCCTTGAATCCCAGTGTCCCTGGGTCACCAGGCAGTGGAGTGGCCAAGCCTCGGGTGATGGGCCCTGTCATTTGGCCACCCAGGACAGGAGAGAGAGCTACCCCAGCTCTGGCCTCTGTAGTGGGCGGTGGGGGCTTGGCTCCCACCAAAATGCACTCCGGTGAGCTCCCCCAGATCAGGAAGGGGGTTCAGACGCTGTGCAGCCACAAGAGTGAAAACACGTAGGAACATCAGAGACAGATTCAGGTAAAGGTGGAAACACTGCCGTGCTGTCGTCTGCGGTGACAGCTGTGCGTGTGCTGGACCCGCCCCTCCAGGCTTTTCCAGCGCACACTCCCAGCATCCGGTGGAGACTCTGGTAATTTACTTTTTCACCTCTGGGACTTGTGACCCGCTTTTGGTGTGTGCCAGTGTTTCGACAGCCCCAGAGTCTGTCCTCGCAGGGCTGTGGTGTCACAGGCCTCTCTTTCCAGGTGCTACAGCTCGAGAGGGCAGCGCCACAGTCCCTGGACGGCGTGGACTGAGGCCAGGTCCTTCCTGGAGGCCTCCTCTCCTCGGGGACCCCAGCGCCTCGTCACCAGCATTGCTGGAGCCAAGGGTAGGAGCCCAGAACAGCACGGCACATCAGCCGAGAAGGAGGGAACTTTTCAGTCAAATTCCTCAAAAAGAGGCTGGAATAAAGCCTGGGCTTAAAAAGAGGCTGGAATCCAATGCATGTGGTTTTGACCTCCTGCCAGCGCGTGCTTCCCCGCGAACTCTGGCACTCTCTGACGGAAGCCGCCTGGGTAGGACAGGTCCAACCGCCGCCCTGTGTGGCATCTTTGCTGCAAGAACAAGAATGGTGGCTCCCGGGCAGGGAGGGGTATCATGAGCAGAAAATGAAGGAGAGAAGACTTCCTCTCCCACCCATATACACCTTCCTGTCCTGGGTTCCAGAAGGTTCTGGGGAGATGGTCCCCGCAGAGCTCTCTTCCTGGGAGTCTGGGGACTAGTCGGCCTTACTCCTGTCCTGTGGGAGAACCACCCCATCTGGGCATGGGGCAGGGGCGGGGCAGGGGCGGGGCAGTGGCGGGGCCCTGTGGGTCCCCCTTCCTGTTCGTTTTCCTGCCATTCTGGGCACCTTTGTCTTTTTATGGAATGGGGTGAGGAGCGGGGCTTCCATCCTCTCCAGAGCTCCCCTTGGTCCTGGAACCCTCTCTCCAGGGTAGCCCCAGGGAGTCTCAGCCTCCCATCCTTGCAGGGTGAAGGTGAGATGAAGATGGGTGCACAGGCCAGAGCCTCCAGGAGGGTGGAGTGGGTTTGGGGTCTGTGCTGCCCACCAGGTGTCCGTCCTCTCTCTCCCCCATGCCCGGCCCCTCTGCCTGGAGCACTCCTGCTTCCCAGCCTCACCTAGAGCCCCACACCAAACCCAGGGCCCAGGCTGGGACACAGACCACAGCCGAGGGTGAATTTCCCAGGAAGCGACTGGGGGCCCTGGGCTGGGATACGGGGAGTGATCCTCCCACCATGCCGCCTCTGCGGGCCTGCGCGGCCTTTCTTCCCCTGTCCCTGCTCTGTCTCCTCTCAATGTCCAGCTTTCCCTAAGCCGGGCTGTAGATTTCCCTCTGTCCTGGGCCACCAGGGAGCCTTCCAACTGTGATGTGCCCGGTACCGAGGTGGCCCCCAGCAGACCCTGTCCCTTCCAGTGTGCTGCCACTGGGGACGACCCCCAGGGGGTGGCTGCCCGAGGCCTCCTTGGTCCATCCTGGTCTCACCGTCTCTAGGTCATAGCAGTACTAAGTGGCGTGATAGCAGAAAGTGGGGGGCACTCGGCAGGTGCTGTTTGTATAGTAGAGAGTAGGGAGCACTTGGCAGGTGCTGTCTGGATAGCAGAGAGTGTGGAGCACTTGGCAGGTGCTGTCTGGATAGTAGAGAGTGGGGGGCACTCGGCAGGTGCTCTCTGGATAGCAGAGAGTGGGGGGTACTCGGCAGGTGCTGTTGGGATAGCAGAAAGTGGGGGGCACTCGGCAGGTGCTGTTGGGATAGTAGAAAGTGGGGGGCACTCGGCAGGTGCTGTCAGGATAGCAGAAAGTTGGGGGCATTCAGCAGGTGCTGTCGGGATAGTAGAAAGTGGGGGGCACTCAGCAGGTGCTGTTTGTATAGTAGAAAGTGGGGGGCACTCGACAGGTGCTGTCTGAATAGCAGAGAGTGAGGAGCACTTGGCAGGTGCTGTCTGGATAGCAGAGGGGGGGTGCACTCGGCAGGTGCTGTCTAGGAATGCTAGACAGGCAAGGGAAGAACGCCTCAAGTGAGCATGCGCACAACTCCAGTAAACACACTGCGCATGCTCCCCTCCCAAGCGCCGGCAGTCACTGTGCATATGGATAGCGCTCCCCGAGGGAGGAATCCGGGAACCGTAATGCCAGACCCCGGAAGCATGCCGACCCCATGTCAAAAGGTCAAACCACGCACCTGACTCTCAAGTAGCCTGCTGGGCCCTCTTCCAAATTTACTTTCCTTCCTTTCGTTCCTGCTCTAAAGCTTTTTAATAAACGTCCACTCCTGCTCTAAAACTCGCCTCAGTCCCATGCCCCTCAGTGGAATTCTGTCTTCTGAGGAGACGAGAATTGAGGCTGCCGCAGACCCCTATGGATTCGCCACCGGTAACAGGAGGTGAAACCAAGAAGAAATATGGCAGGTATGGTGTTTTCTCCTTTACTCTCCCACCGTAACAATCATCGACACAAGATTTCTGTGACCAAACATGGGTTTTATTTCCCCCTCACACTAAGCAGTGGACGCCAGCTGGGTATCCTCTAATTCAGTTCTGACACCATCTACCCAGAGAAAGCATCACGTCCCGCACATTGAGAGCTCAGTTCCCAAGACTGCACACCCCGCCACCGCCACACACACACACACAAAACAGTCGCAAGTCCGGGCCTCCAGAACCTCTGACCTACCAGCTTCAAGTTGGGGTTCCCATGACCCCCTCATTAAGCTCACAGAACTCAGGGAAATGCTCGTGTTTAGCAGTGTATTATAAAGGATATTGCAAAGACTATAGATGAAGAGCCACGTACGGTGAGGCACAGGGGGAGGGGTGCCGAGCTTCCATGATCTCCCCAGGCTCCACCCCCTAGGACCCTCCCTGCATTCAGCTACCCAGAAAAGCTCTCTGAACCCAGTCCTCTTGGGTTTTCTTTTTTTTTTTTTTTTTTTGAGACAGAGTCTCGGTCTGTTGCCCAGGCTGGAGTGCAGTGGAATTATCTCGGCTCACTGCAACCTCTGCCTCCTGGGTTCAAGCAATTCTCCTGCCTCAGCCTCCCTAGTAGCTGAGACTACAAGCACGTGCCACCACGCCTGGCCAATTTTTTGTATTTTTAGTAAAGACGGGGTTTCACTGTGTTAGCCAGGATGGTCTCGATCTCCTGACCTCGTGGTCCGCCCACCTCGGCCTTCCAAAGTGCTGGGATTACAAGCGTGAGCCACCATTCCCCGGCCCCTCTTGGGTTCTCATGGAAGCTTTGTGCCATCACCATTCCTTCCCCCAGGGCATGGGGTAGGTAGGGATTACTGTCTCATGGGAGGGTCTCAAGACCCACAGTCAACAAGGCAAGGGACCATCAGAGTAGAAGGAGAGCAGGAGGACACCAGAGGCTGCCCCTGAGGCTTAAAACATTCAATAGTCTATTAGGTTGCTGCAAAAGTAATTACAATAATTTTTGCACCAAACTAGTAACAAAAGACTCACCAAGTCTGTGGAAGTTATCAGCTAGGAACCATGGACAAAAAATATCACAACACCAAAACAGTGTAAAGTGCTATGTATACACAAGCTATTCAGTGCAGTAGAGTCCCATCTCACAGCGGCTGGGCTTCCAAAAATTAGCTTACCATCATGCCTGGCTAATTTTTGTATTTTTAGTAGAGACAGGGTTTCACCATGTTGGCCAGGCTGGTCTCGAACTCCTGACCTCAGGTGATGTGCCCGCCTCAGCTTCCCAAAGTGCTGGGATTACAGGCATGAGCCCCCGCGCCCCGCCCATTCAAAATCTTAAATCCACAGAGGTCATTCTCTAATTGCTCCACTTACACTCAAATACATTTTGATGACAGCATGCATTATGCTATAAGTATTTTACAGAAAATGTAAATTTTTTTAGTTACCATAAACTCTCCTAAAAAATTATTTCAAAATACATTTTCTCTTAAGACATTTCAAAATTTGACATTTCTTAAAACAGTGCTTACCATATACAACCCACTGGTATTAATGCTTTTACTATTCAAACTAATGTTATAGTAACCACACTGTGTGAGGACTTAATAACATCTACCTTTTACAAATAAATCCAGACAGTGCTAACTGACCGATTGAATCTTCTGACCTGCAGACAGTGCACGCCTCTTGTCCCAATTAAGTGATCCAAGTGTATTCATGGCTATAAATGACCTCAAACACTCCAGTGAAAAGCCATTTCTCACCACATTAGAAAATTCCAAACCTCTCATCAGAACCTGCAAAGTGCTATGTGGAGCGATGTGGGGTGGGGAAAACAGTGAGAAAGGTGTAGCCGTAAGACAGGCAAAGAAGGGCTGTGATCAATGCATAGTTAGAGATGAACAAAAAGAGACGGCAGAGAGCTGGAGATTATTAGAAAATAAAACAAGCAAATTCCTCTTCATAAGTTCAGAGAAGGCCAGTTGTGTAGCCTGGGAGCAGATGTCCTCTCTCCACATGCAAAATTAATACCATTTCTTCACCATGGATGTTTTCAGTCTCTAACTTGAAAACACAAACTTGCTTCAACAGAATTATTTACTTCTAATTATAAAAAATGTTATTCACCCTAGCACTATATTTGTTTACTTCTTTTACATATCAAAATAACCCAATAACTTACAAAGCATCCCCAGTGTTTACCTGAACAAACTGGCCCGATAATGTAAATATACCCAACGATATCAATTATATAAAGTAAAAGAACAATAACTAAAGAAAAATTGGCTTAAATTGGGTTCTTTAAATGAAATAACTAAATAAAATGTATGAGTTATATAAAATATTACTTAATACACTCATTGTGAAATTACTCACATCTGAAAATGATTTGGGGAGCATCACTAAGGTTTATGTAAATTCTTCTTCTCATCCCTGGGCAGGGGATGGAAATAATGCTGCATGAACAATGGGATAGGAACATTTGATGTGAGGTCCAGCATGAACAAGAGGCAAGTAAAAACAGAGGGTTTGCATGAGGAGATTCTGAACCAGGAGCCAGAATATTTTACAGAAATGAATTCAATACAAAGGAAAGAACAGAGATTTCTTTCAACATCTTTGAGGTTTATAGTTTTCTATAGTAAATAATCATGTCTATTAAAATTATCTGTTTTATCCAATCCTGCTGTTTTCTTTGTTGTCTGTACCTTCAAACTAGGTAGACACCAACACTCATACAAACACAATTACTTGCTCCATAATTCTCTTAAACCTAAAGTTCATCTTTATTGCGTTTGCTTTGTTCTTTTTTTTTTTTTTTTGAGACAAGGGCTTGCTTTGCTGCCCTGGCTGGAGTGCAGTGGCATGATCATAGCTCACTGCGGCCTTGATCTCCCAGGCTCACATGCTCCTTCCACCTCAGCCTCCTGAGTAGCTGGGACTGAAAGTGTGCACCACCACTCCCAGCTAATTTTTTAAAAATGTATAGTAGAGACAAGGTCTCACTATGTTGCCCAGACTGTTCCCAAACTTTTCACCTCAAGTGATCCTCTTACCTTGGCCTCCCAAAATGCTGGGATTACAGATGTGAGTCCCCATGCTCAGCGTAGTTTATCTTTACAGTAATATATTTGTATATTTAACTCTGTGTGAATCAAAACTAAAACTCTGTATGTGTTTTGTCAGGGCAGAATAGTTGTACATCCAACAAAAAATATAGGAAAACAATTAAAATACTCAGAAATGTATGTATTTTATTTAAACTCCTGTATAATCTTTCTTATAGCAATAATGATGACTCTGTGGTTACAAAAAAAGTATAAAAAACTATGGGAACAATATTCTTCAAATTACTTGCAGTTAAAAAGTCACTGGGAATAGAGATCACCGGAGATGCTATTCCACTATGCCACCCAATAGCATATTGTTACCACCTGTTATCAACACCCTTGAGTAAGATGGAATTGGTTTTTGGTAGGATAACACTTTATTTCATGAACTTAACACATTTAACACAATTGTATTTAATTAAAAGCAAATTAAGTTCACACAGAATCTTATAAAACATTTAAAAATTTATGGTATATTACCTTCATGAAATACTGGTAAAACCAATGATTTATAAAATTCAAAATGGTTCCCTCTTCCTATAATGCAGAAGAATCTTCCTACCTCATGAACCACTTACAAGTAAGTAAAACAACCACAAAGAGCCTCTTGATCAAGATGTTATTCACGCATCTTACATTTCAGAGCCTTTCGCCTTTCATGGACCAGTGTATCAGTGATGCACACCTAATGTAAAGGAATTTCTCATATTTCTGATGCAACAATAAGAATTGACTGTGTGTTTTCACATCAGAACTAGAAATGAAGACACAGCATCAATTAAGAGTTGAATTACATCAATATTCACTTTTCAAAATACTTAGCATTCTTTCAATGCAAAAAAGTACATTTAGAATATATAACTACTAAAAATCAATCTCATCCTCCTTTTTTTTTGGAGATAGAGTCTAGCTCTGTCACTCAGGCTGGAGTGCAGTGGTACAATCTTGGCTCACTGCAACTTCTGCCTCCCAGGCTCAAGCAGTTCTCCTGCCTCAGCCTCCGGAGTAGCTGGAATTACAGGCGCGCACACCCAGCTAATTAATGATCTGTTTTAAGTCTAGATGAGTCTGTAGACTCACCACTCTGATTCAGCATCTTTTCTGAATGTGTCCATGCCCTATTCCTTTCTCTCTTGAATCCTCCAGTGTTTCCGTAGACTTGATTTTGCTTATTTTTTCCATTTACTGCATTTGTAAAATATCTTTTAGTATGAACTCTGGTGTTTTCTAAGCTACAGTTTCTGAACAAATGTTATTCCACATTTATGACATTTGTAGGATTTCTCTACAATACAAATTCTCTGAATAAAGTTTAAGCAGCTGATACAAGATTTCCGTCTAGTATAAAACATATTTCTAATTTTTTTTCCAGAAGAAATATTCTTTAGTCCTCTGGAAACTTATATTTCATGAAAGGTCTTTCAACAGTCATTGCATTTATAATAACTTTATTAAGTCTGAACTCTGATGTAAGATGCAAGCAGATACTAACAGCTTTGCCTATTTTTATATTTTTTTTTTCTCAAGTATGAATGCTTTCATGTACAGTCAGGTGTGAGAACTGGGTAAAGGCTTTGCCACACTCTTCACACTTGTAGGGTTTCTCTCCAGTATGAATTCTCTTATGTACAATAAGGTTTGAGGACTGGGTAAAGTTCTTTCCACACTCTTCACATTTGTAGGGTTTCTCTCCAGTATGGGTTTTCTTATGTTTGGCAATATCTGAGAACCACATAAAGACTTGCCCACATTCTTCACATTTATCGGGTTTCTCTCCAGTATGAATTCTCTTATGTACAATAAGGTTTGAGGACTGGGTAAAGTTCTTTCCACATTCGTCACACTTGTAGGGTTTCTCTCCAGTGTGGGTTTTCTTATGCTTAGTGAGGTCTGATAACTGCTTAAAGATGTTGCCGGCCGGGCGCAGTGGCTCAAGCCTGTAATCCCAGCACTTTGGGAGGCCGAGATGGGTGGATCACGAGGTCAGGAGATCGAGACCATCCTGGCTAACATGGTGAAACCCTGTCTCTACTAAAAAATACAAAAAAAAAAAAAAAAAAAACTAGCCGGGCAAGGTGGTGGGCACCTGTAGTCCCAGCTACTCGGGAGGCTGAGGCAGGAGAATGGCATAAACCCGGGAGGTGGAGCTTGCAGTGAGCTGAGATCCAGCCACTGCACTCCAGCCTGGGTGACAGAGTGAGACTCTGTCTCAAAAAAAAAAAAAAGATGTTGCCACATTCTTCACACGTGTAGGATTTTTCTTCAGAATGAGTTCTCTTGTGATTAGAAAGGCTTGAGCAAGTTCTGAAGACTTTCCCACATTCTTCACACTGGTAGGGTTTCTCTCCGGTGTGAATCCTCCTGTGTTCACTGAGGTGTGAGGACTGCATATAGGCTTTCCCACATTCTTCACATTTGTAGGGTTTCTCACCAGTGTGAATCCTCTTATGTTTAGTAAGGTCTGAGCACCATTCGAAGATGCTGTCACATTCCTCACATTTGAAAGGTTTCCCTCCAATCTCATTTCTCTGATGTTTGGAAAGACTTGGACTTGTGCAATTTTTCACATTTGGAGAGCTTCTCTCCAGCAAGAATCATCTGATGATTAGAAAGCCTTGAGCAAGAGAGAAAGACATTGTCGCACTCTTCACATTTGTGAAATTTTTCCACAGCACCGTGTTCCTTACGACCAGTAAGGTGGGACAGCTGTTTAAAGGCTTTGCCAAATTCTTCACATTTGTAATGTTCCCCTGCGGTGTAAATTCTGTTTTTAGGAAGGACTGAGCAAGTTTTAAAAACCTTGTCACATTCTTGACATTTGTAAGGTTTCTCTCTAGTGCAAATGTTCTCACGTTCAGTAAAGTGTGAGCATTGGTTAAAGGTTTTGCCACATTCTTTACATTTTGTGGAATTTTTTTCCAGTGTGAATTTCTGATGTTCAGTTAAGAATGAGAACATTTGAAAGGATTTACCACATTCTTTGCATTTGAAAGGCTTCTGTCCAGCATGAATTATATTATATCTATTTAAATTTGAAGAATTGTTAAATATTTAACACATTTATTACATCGAAAGATTTTGCTATGGGTAGTTGATGAACATTGCTTAAGTCTATTGTAATCTTCTTTCTGCAATTTACACTCATCTACATTTCCCCAGTCTTTCCTCCAGTGGAAATTGTCAAGGCCACAATTTCCACATCCTCTCCATATTGATTTTGGGAACGCATCTTGTATGCCCTGCTCTGGCAAAAAGTCTTGGGTGATATGAGAAGACATAGCTGAAAAAAATAAATAAAGTTACCTACTTACTAGACACAGATGAATACACTTTATTAATCTAATCTATAAAATAATACTGAGTACATTAGCAAAACGGCATTAAAAACACCACAGGCCCTACTTTTCTTTATAAACATGTAAATGTAAACATGTATTATCTGAAAAAGATAAAATTATAAAATGATAATATTATAACTGTTACAGTTGGGCATTGGGGAATATAGAGTTTCAATGACCAACCTCAGTTCACACTAAAAGAAAATAACATTTTGAAGTAAAATAACTAGATTATCTTATATTTGGGCAGATGCTTAGTGTTCGGAGAAAATTACTGAGTATACATTTCTGCAGACTCCCATTTGAAACCTCTGTAGGAATTGAAATCAGAAAGCAGACACACAACATCTGTTTACAGGACTTCCAGGATTTCTGAACCAAACACCATCACTCACACACTTCAGACACAATGCGAAAAGGGAAGTTAGAAAACATGTCGCATAGAGTTCCTCAAACACAGGCAGGTGCAAGCATGTTCCCAAAAGCAGTGGCACAGCAAGCAGTGAGAACCACACAGGCCCTTACTCGCCAGGAGGAGGACTCCGATTTTCACTGTGACCCTTATAAAGGAAAATCACTAAACGGGAAGCGGAGTCTGTAGAAGGTTTAAGAGAATGAGACAGAAGAGGCTCCTGGGGGCAGCAAGAGAAAGACCCCCGGGCTCTCAGAACTGCCCCTGCCCGCTTTACCTGCTTGGCGGTGCCTCCTGCAGTTGGTTCCTCCAGCATCCACCTGGGCAGGGCCCACGTCCTCCCCCTCCCCATGCCAGCCTGAAGCCCCCGGGGCAGCCTGGGTTTCTCCTTTTCCTCTGGATCTCCAGGGACTGCGCGGTCCCTGGGGTCCGCTGGCGGGGAATGAATGAGTGAATGAATGAATGAGGAACCGGGTGGCCATCTGGGTCTCAGTGTCTGTCTGGGGGCGTGGTGGGGGGCGTGCCCTGATGGACCCGGCTCATCAGAGTCACTCCTGGGGGCTTCCCTTGGGGTTGGCACAGGGCAGTTCCCCCCCATCTCAGGGCTGCTTCCGTGGGGAGGGTCCCCGAGAAGCGGAGCGTGGGCTGGTTTTTAGGGGGTAACCCACGAAGGCTCCGCCTGTTCGCCCGCCCCCCGGCCGTTCTGGGAACCCCCCAGCACCACCCTGGAGCCCCGGCCTGCAGCCTCCTCGGGGCCTCGTCTCCCTCCTCCCGGGGAAGCTGCGGGGCAGGCACCCGGCAGACCGCGGGACCTGACTCCCTCCCCTCCCCTCACGGTGGGGTTGCGGCTCTGGGGGCTCCTGGGGCCGCTGTCGGACCCTCAGCTCTGTGGCCGGGGAGAGGAGCTTTCGGGGCCACAGTCTCAGGGCGGCACAGACGGGGCGGCTCCAAGGCTTCAGCCACAGATGTTGGTTTCCTCTGTTCTGGGGGTGGAGGCCTGAGCTCAGGGAGTCTCAGGGTTTGGTTCCTTCCCAGGCCCCTCCAGGGCTGGGGGCGGGTGTCTCCTCCCCACCCTGGGCCGCCCTCTGTGGGTCTGTGTCTCCTCTCCCCATGGGGACCCCAGTGCATGGGGATCAGGCCCACCCCGAGGACTTCACTGAAACTGAATGACCTGTTCAATGGCCCCACCTTCAAATCAGGCCCCGTCCTGAGGGACTGGGGACCAGGCCTTCCACGCAGGGTAGGGCACACGCTTTAGCCTGTCACACAGGATTCCCTGGGCCCCTAAGCACTGCAGCCAGGGTGGGCTGGAACTGGGTGTGACAGAGAAGGGGATTGTACCTGTTGATACTGGCACAATATCAAGGCACTTCTTGATATTGACTTTAACTCATTTCATCCTCAAGGCAGCTGCGTGTTTTTCGTGTCACAGGCACAGAGGGGTTAAGTATGAATCACTTGCCCGGAATGGCACAGCTGGCAGTGCAGGGATCAGATTAGCCAAGGAGAAGGAACTAAGTCAGGGGTCTTGACCTCAGCCTCAGAACCACAAGTGAGACACCGGGAGAACTGCCGAGATCTGAACCCGCCTGGAGAACCGTCCTGGAGGGTAGTGAGTTGGGGGTACTCAAGGGCGTGCACTTTCCTTCTGAGGTGATGAAACGTTCTGTAACTGGTGATGGTGATGGGTGCACAGCACTGTGAATACACAGCATTGAATTGTATGCCTTAAGTGGGCAAATTGTGTGGCATATAAATTTTATCTCAACAAAGCTGTTACCAAAAAAAGAAGAGGTATCAGAGAGGTTGGGGAGTGGTGAAGCCATGGTTGTGCTGATGGACCCAGAGTTCTGGTGAGATCAAAGCATTGGAGAAAGAGAGCTAGGAAGAGGATGGTGGCTGGAAGCGGGGTGCATGGGACAGAGCCCAGTGGGGTGCCCTGCTGAGAACACGGTCACAGATATCACCACAGGGGTGAGGAGTGGGGAAGATTCATTTACTTGTGTATGGAAATCACTGAGAATTAACCTAGAAATTGTGTTGGAAAAAGTAGTCACGAGCCAGAAGCTAAAATCAAGAAGAAATTGGGAAGAGATTGGCAAGGCATACCAGCCTGCACATAACGGAGACAGAGATGGAGGCTCTGGAGAAGACGGAGTGGGATAGGCTGGTGGTGACGGGAAGACATTACCCATCTTCTGGGACCAGTTCCCAAACTGAACGCTTGGACTTGTTAGTTTTCTTACTCGATTCCTTTCTATCCTTACATTTTTTGTGTCTAAAGGTGTCCCCAATTCTGAAAGTGAGATCTTTAACTCTCCCTCCATATTCTTTTATTTTTATGATATGTTTTAATTTTTATTTCATGGCTCACTGCAGACTCGATTTTCCAGGCTCAATGTTTTTCCCACCTAAGCCTCCTGAGTAGCTGCAACTACAGGTGTGTGCCAGTATGCCTGGCTAATTTAAAACAATTTTTTTTTTCTAGAGACGATGTCTTCCTTTGTTGCCAAAGCTGGTCTTGAACTCCTGGGCTCAAGTGATCCTCCTGCCTTGGCCTCCCTGGATTACAGGCACTCTCAGATTGCAGGCATGAGCCACTGCCCTGGGCCTGTTTGGTGTTTGACCCTAAATCCCAGCTGCCAACTTGCTGCTGTCTGTTCTTTTCTTTTCCTTTCTATTTATTTTATTTTATTTTATTTTATTTATTTTTTGCTGTTATCCATCACCCTTTTCATGTTCAACATGTCTCTATCACTTTGTCTTAGGTGAACTACTTGGAAACTGCACACCACAGCCTCTGTTTTCAACAGAGTTCAGTCACCTCTTGAGGGCTCTTCTGATTCTTATCTCGGTAGATCATCTCCTCAAGGATTTCTGCAGGTGAGTACGCTGGTGACACGATGCTGTATTCTTGGGTGAGTACGCTGGTGACATGTTGCTGTATTCTTGGGCGAGTACGCTGGTGACAGGTTGCTGTATTCTTGGGTGAGTATACTGGTGACAGGTTGCTGTATTCTTGGGTGAGTACACTGGTGATGTGATGCTGTATTCTTGGGTGAGTATGCTGGTGACATGTTGCTGTATTCTTGGGCGAGTATGCTGGTGACATGTTGCTGTATTCTTGGGTGAGTACACTGGTGATGTGATGCTGTATTCTTGGGTGAGTATGCTGGTGACATGTTGCTGTATTCTTGGGCGAGTATGCTGGTGACATGATGCTGTATTGTTGGGTGAGTACGCTGGTGACATGTTGCTGTATTCTTGGGTGAGTATGCTGGTGACATGTTGCTGTATGCTTGGGTGTGTACACTGGTGACATGTTGCTGTATTCTTGGGCGAGTACGCTGGGGACATGCTGCTGTGTTCTTAGGTGAGTACACTGGTGAAACAATGCCCAAGAGCATGGCCAGGAGATTTGAGGAGCAGACACATCTGGTAAGCAGACTTCAGTTTCTTGTCAGTAATGTGCCCCTCTTATGCTCTCCCCGGGGTTTAGCATGCATCCCTTAAACAAAGAAAGCAGCCTCATATAAGCAGTGGTTTGGTGACTAGAGTGCCTCAGGGCGTTATTGCTGCTATAAGAAAATACTTGACCTGGGTAATTGATAAAGAACAGAAATGTACTTTCTTATAGTCCCGAAGGCTAGGAAGTCCAAGATCAAGGTGCTGGTGTCTGGTGTGGGCCTTCTTACTGTGTCTTCACATATTGGAAAGCAGAAGGGCACGAGAGCATGAATATGCTGTCCTCACATGGCACAGAAAAGGATGAAGGCCCTCCCTCAAGTCCTTCTTGCATGCAGCACTAACTCATTCCAAGTACCTTTTGTTAGGCCCCACCTCCCAACACTCTTGCATTGGGGGTGAAGTTTCCAATACATGAATTTTGGGGAACACATGCAGACTATGGCATAAAGGAACCTCTTTCCCCACGTGGAGTACAACTGAGCAAGGAACCCAACTGAGAAGCTGGAAGAAGCAGCCTAAGAGGAGTGAACGCTCTGTCTGGGGAAGAGAGAAAACAACAGCAGAGAGACTTGTGAGATTTTCAGAAATAATTGAGTAGGGGAAAAGATTCCCCACAAACATCAAGATGAGGATAGATTATTCTTATCTGGATAGGAAAGGAAAGGATATTGTCTGGGTGCACTGGCTCACACCTGCAACACTTTGGGAGGCCAAGGCAGGAGGATCACTGGAGGCCAGGAGTTCAAGACCAGCCAGAGCAACATGGCAAGACCCCCATCTCTACAGAAAGTTTAAAAGTTAGCTGGGTATGGTGACACACGCCTATATTCCCAGCTACCTAGGAGGCCGAGGTGGGAAGATTCCTTAAGCCCAGAAGTTTGAAGCTGGAGTAAGCTGTGATCACGTCACTGCAATCCAGCCCAGGTGACAGAGGAAGACTTATCTAAAAAAAAAAAAAAGTGATCCCCAGTAATATAGTTTGGATGCCTCCTCCAAATCTTATGTTGGTGAGGCCTGCTGGGAGGTGTTTGGATCACGTGTATAGATTTTTCATGGATGGTTTAGCACCATCTCCTTGGTGATGAGGAAGTTCAAGCAAGATCTGGTTGTTTAAAATGTGTAGCACTGACCGGGCATGGTGGCTTATGCCTGTAATCTCAACACTTTGGGAGGCTGAGGCCGGCAGATCACCTGAGGTCAGGAGTTCGAGACCAGCCTGACCAATAGGGAGAAACCCCGTCTCTACTAAAAATACAAAATTAGCCAGGTGTGGTGGCACATGCCTGTAATCCCAGCTATTCAGGAGGCTGAGGCAGGAGAATCACTTGAATCTGGGAAGCAGAGGTTGTGGTGAGCCGAGATCATGCCATTGTACTCCAGCCTGGACGACAAGAGCAAAACTCCATCTCAAAAAAAAAAAAAACAAACGTGTGGCACCTGTCCCTCCACCAGCTCTGTCTTTCTCAGCTGTCACCATGTGCCATGCCTGCTCCCGCTTTGCCTTCCACCATGAGTAAAAGCCCCCTGAGGGCCTCACCAGAAGCTAAGCAGATGTTGGTGCCGTGCTTGTACAACTTGCAGAACCATGAGCCAATTAAACCTTTTTTCTTTATAAATTACCCAGTCTCCGGTATTTCTTTATAGCAACACGAAAAAGAGCCTAATACAGAAAATTGTACCAGGAGTGAGATGTTGCTACAAAGACACCTGAAAATGTGGAGGTGACTTTGGAACTGGATAATGGCCAGAGACTGGAAGCTTTTGGAGGGCTCAGAAGAAGAAAGAAAGATGAGGAAAAGGTTGGAACTCCTGTGAGACTGGTGAAATGGTTGTGTCCAAAATAATTACAGTGATAAGAACCATGAAATCCAGCCTGATGAGGTCTCAGGGAAATGAGGAACTTGCAGGAAACTAAAAACAAAGGTCACATGTGTTATGCCTTGACAGCCAGCTTGACTGTATTGTGTTTCATGCCCTAGGGGGCTCTGAAACTTTCTACTTAGGAGTGGTGACTTAGGATATCTGGTGGAAGAAATTTCTAAGCAGCACAACATTCAAGTTGTGGCCTGACTGAATCTAACGTCGTACTCTCACATGCAAGAGCACATACATGAATTAAAGTTGGAATTTATATTTAAAAGGGAATCAAAGTGTAAAAGTTTGGAAAGTCTGCAGCATGGCCATGTGGCAGAGAATGAAAAAGCATTATCAGGAGAGGAATCCAAGCAGGCTACAGAGCAACCACCTGCTAGAGATATTAGCATGACTCAAAACAAACAAACAAAACACAACCCAAGTGCTAATAGCCAACACAATGGGAAAAGACTTCAGACGCATTTCAAAGGTGTTTGAGACAGCCCCTCTCATCACTGACCTAGAGGCCTAGGAGGACTGCATGGTTTCAGGGGCTCAGCCCAGGCCCTCACTGCCCTGCACAGCCTTGGAGCACTGCTCCCCACACATAGGCTGCTCCAGCTCCAGCCTCAGCTCAAAAGACCCCAAAGATAACTCTGGCTTCAGAGGATGCAAGCCATAAGCCTTGGTAGCTCCCATGTGGTGTTAAGCCTGTAGATGTGTAGAGTACAAGAGTGAAGGAGGCTTGCGATCCTCTACCTAGATTGCAGAGGATTTATGAGAAAGCCTGGGCACTCAGGCAAAAGCCTGATGCAGGGGCAGAGCCCACACAGAGGGTATATACTAGGGCAGTGAAGAGGGGAAACGTGGGGCAGGAGGCCCACATAGAGTCCCCACTGGGGCACTGCTTAATTGAGCTGTGGGAAGGAGGACACCATCCTCCAGGCCCCAGAATGGTAGAGCCACTGGCAGCTTACATCTTGAGCATGGAGAAGCTGCAGGCACCCAACTCCAACCCATGAGAGAAGGTGCAGGGGTGAACCCTGCAAAGTCACGAGGGTGGAGTTCCTCAAGGCCTTAGGAGCCCACCGCTCACCCCAGTGTACCCTGGATGTGGGACAGGGAGTCCAAGGACATTACTCTGGAGCTTTAAGATTTAATGGCTGCCCTGCTGGATTGCAGACATGCATGGGGTCTGTAGCCCCCTCCTTTTGGCTGATTTCTCCCTTTTGGAATGGGAATGTTTACCCAGTGCCTCTACCCTCATTGTATCTTGAAAGTAAATAATGTGTTTTGGTTTTCACAGGTTCATAGGTGGAAGGAACTTGGACTTTGGACTCGATGTTGGAATCAGTCAAGACATTGGGAGGACTGTTGGGAAGAGATGATTCTATTTTCCAACGCGAGGACATGAGATTTAGGGGTCGGGGTATAATGATATAGTTGGGATGTTCCCTCCAAATCTCTTGTCGAAATGTAATCTCCAGTGTTGAAGGAGGGGCCTGCGGGGAGGTGTTTGGATCATGGGGGTGGATCCCTCATGACGGGCTTAGCATCATCCCCTTGGTGATGAGTGGGTTCACTCAGATCTGGTTGTTCACAAGCGTGCGGCCCCTCCTCACCCCTTGCTCCCACTCTCACCATGTGGTGTGCCTGCTCCTGCTTTGCCTTCCGCCATGAGGAAAAGCTTCCTGAGGGCCTCCCCAGAAGCTGAGCAGAGGTGGGTGCCACGCTTGTGCAGTCTGCAGAACCATGAGCCATTCTAACCTCTTTCCTTTATAAATTACCCAGCCTCCAGTATTTCTTTAGAACAATGCAAAACTGAAAATGGCATGACTAAAATATAAAGACCTTGGATAACTTTTGAAATCTAAAAAGGTAAAATTAATATTATCTGGGGGAGTCAACACAGGAAAGATGAGAGCACTTGGGCAGAGGCTGTTGACCACTGGTCACATGTGGTCAGCAGAGAGCAGGTGACCAGCACCCTGGGGCTTTGTGGGAAGCACCAGACAGCCTGGAGCTGAGGTATTAATTGTAGGAGCCAAAACAAATGGGGAAAAAGACAAATTTAGCACACAAAGAAAGTAGATGCTCAACTGAGCCAGGAGGAAGTCACTAGCGAAGAGGGAAAAAACAGAGCTCTGGAAAAATAGTGTAAACAGTCACAAGGAAGGGACCCTGTATCATGCCTGACCTCTGGACAGGTATATAAAGAGCCCAGCCTCAGGGAGCTCCACACCTGCACCTCCCTCTCACCTGCTCCTCTACCTGCTCTATTCTCAATCCACCAGAACCATGGGCTGCTGTGGCTGTTCCGGAGGCTGTGGCTCCGGCTGTGGGGGCTGTGGCTCCGGCTGTGGGGGCTGTGGCTCCGGCTGTGGGGGCTGTGGTTCCGGCTGTGGGGGCTGTGGCTCCGGCTGTGGGGGCTGTGGCTCTGGCTGTGGGGGCTGTGGCTCTGGCTGTGGGGGCTGTGGCTCCGGCTGTGGGGGCTGTGGCTCCAGCTGCTGTGTGCCCGTCTGCTGCTGCAAGCCTGTGTGCTGCTGTGTGCCAGCCTGTTCCTGCTCCAGCTGTGGCTCCTGTGGGGGCTCCAATGGGGGCTGTGGGTCCTGTGGGGGCTCCAAGGGGGGCTGTGGCTCTTGTGGGGGCTCCAAGGGTGGCTGTGGCTCTTGTGGAGGCTCCAAGGGGGGCTGTGGCTCTTGTGGGGGCTCTAAGGGGATCTGTGGTTCTTGTGGTTGCTCCCAGCGCAGTTGCTGCAAGCCCTGCTGCTCCTCAGGCTGTGGGTCATCCTGCTGCCAGTCCAGCTGCTGTAAGCCCTGCTGCTCCCAGTCCAGCTGCTGCAAGCCCTGCTGCTCCCAGTCTAGCTGCTGTGTCCCCGTGTGCTGCCAGTGCAAGATCTGAGGCTCTGGACTCAGGCCTCATGTGAGTCCTGCTAACCCCATATTCTGAAGCTGTGACCTGTCCTTCATCGTTGAGCCCCAAACCACTGCCCAGAGTCCATTCCTCACTACAAGATGAACCATATCTGGCTGCCTTTTCCTAAGGAGAGTCCACCCTAATCAATGTCCATTGTCTCTCCTAACAAATTCTCTTCCCAAGTCAACTGCAACTGCAGTTGAATCACCCCTCGCCTGCTAGCCTCGCCTTTGCTTGTCTATTCAGAGGCCTGAGCTCCTGAACCCACTTGCAGTCCTGTCTTTTCCAGCTGGAAGCAGCTGGCCATGAGCGTCCCACCTGCAACAAGGTGGGTGTTTAAGAGGCTTCCTTGGAGTCCCTTTGCATGTCCCACACTCTGCTTTATCTGAAACGAAAAGTTGCAAACTAATAAAAATACCATGCCGACAAACTGAAACACGTATCTTGCTGACTTCTCTGTTGTTCGGCGTCATTACTATGGCTATAGCTATTGTTCTCTTTTTCTTGTATTTCGGACTGTGTGGGTCTGATGGTGATGTTGGTGGAAGGTGCTAGGATGGGGCTGGCTGTCTCCCCTGCCTCTCATCTCCTTCCCGGCTGACCCCTCTTTTCTCAGATCCCTTTTCTTCCTAGATCTTTCCAGCTATTGATCTGATGGAGACAGAACTGTTCCTCAGACCAGGGCCACAGAAGCAGAAGAGGCTGCTGAAAGCTCTGGGGAGTTCAGACTTGCCTCCTTTCCCTGGTCCAGACCTCTGCCATCTTCCTTTGGGAAGTTTTTGTACCCAACTTACTCTGATTGCCTTTGTTGTTACACAGCCCGTTACCTCTGTAAATAAACACTCCTAACACCAAGCCAATATTGCCTTTTAAGAATTCTGAAAGGGCTGAGCTTGGTTGCTTATGCCTATAATCCCAGCACTTTGGGAGGCCAAGGCAGGCAGATCATTTGAGGTTAGGAGTTTGAGACCTGCCTGGCCAACATGGTGAAACCCTGTCTCTACTAAAAATATAAAAATTAGCTGAGTGTGGTGGCATGTGCCTGTAATCCCAGCTACTTGGGAGGCTGAGGCAGGAGAATGGCTTGAACCTGGGAGGTGGAGGTTGCAGTAAGTCGAGATTGCGCCACTGCACTCCATTCTGGGCGACAGAGCAAGACTCTGTAAAAAAAAAAAAAAAAAAAAAAAAAAAAGACAATAGAATTGAATTATTTCAAGTTATTTGGAAACACAGCAATTTATTGGTGGGATATGTCCTAAGAACATAGAAAGAACACAAAAATAAAATTCCTAAGCTGTTTTTAGAAGTCATGGTGGCAGTGGTAGTATGGTTGATATCCTGCTGTGAATGTTGTATGGAAAAAGCAAATGCATTAATTAGGTTGGTATCAGAACTGGAATTTTTGGTGTGGAACTGATGAGGTTAAGTAAAAACCTTGTCATCCTGAATTTGAATTAGACATATCGATATGAAATCATGATGTATTTTATCCAAATAAAAACAGTTTCCTCCTCCACTGAAAGACTCAGAAACAATGAGCCATCCTGTAGCAGTGAACACGCCTAGCACCAAGACTGTTGTCTTCAAATGTTGTTTATTGTATCTCCCTGGAACCTGGCTTCTCTGGTGAATGGGCTGGAAGTGAACAAGATGAATCTAGAACATCTTGTCATCCCAGAAAGCAGAGATGATAACTAAGACTAATGCAGTTACATCAAAAGAACTAAAGAGTCAGCTGGGCAAGGTGGCTCACGCCTGTAATCCTAGCACATTGGGGGGCTGAGGCAAGTGGATTACTTGAGGTCAGGAGTTGGAGACCAGCCTGACCAACATGGTGAAACCCTGTCTCTACTAAACACAAGAAATTAGCCAGGTGTGGTGGTGCATGCCTGTAATCCCAGCTACTTGGGAGGCTGAGGCAGGAGAATCCTTTGAACCTGGGAGGCAAAGATTGCAGTGAGCTGAGATGGTGCCATTGCACTCCAGCCTGAGTGGCAAGAGCCAAACTCTGTGTAAAAAAAAAAAAAAAAGATAAGAGGCAAACCTGGAGAAACTCTCTGTAGACAGACTTAGGACAATCTGAACACCAATTTCTTAACTGGACTGATACACATCAAGTATGTTTAAACTAGGAGTAAGTAATCATACACAAAAAATAATAATACAGATACTATGCAAACGGTAAAACTTAGTTGCCTGTAGAGGATTCTAGGAATCAATGCATTATTTTGAAGATGACTAAGTAAAGGAAAATAATCAGGCACTTACTCTATCTCTGATAGACAAACTTTATCTTATGGTAACAAAATTAGAGGAAGTATTCCAGTTTATAAATAAAGAAGAAATCATAGAATTAGAAACTTAGCATTTTGTAACCCCTAATGAAATAATGGGACTACCAGATTTACTGCATGCAGCCAAATCAGTGGAAAATTTATAGCCTTAAATGCATATGTTAGAGTAAAAAATAAAAGTTTAAGCTCATTTAGCCAAAAACCTATCTATAAGACTGGCAGTGTTGCCACACAGAGCACAGAACGGGGTGGTAATTAGGGCTCTTTATAGGTATCCTGGTTCTCCTCTTCTTCTGGGAACAGGTCAGATGGCAGGTGGTAGAGTGGCCCTTCCATGAGCCCTCTCTAAGTCAGGTGTGACCGTGTGATTTGCTTGCCTCAGTGGGAAGAAGTCTGAAGCACCTGCTGCAGTTTTCTGAATTCTCTGTTTCTTCTCCTACCATGACCACTAATGTTCCAAGCACTGGCTGCTGCTTCCGACTGAGTCCCAGAGTGACGAAGCACAGAGCAGAGTCACCAGCTGATGTGCAGTGGCCTGCGATGTGAACAAGAAGCAAGCCTGTGTCATGTGAAGTCACTGAAACGTGGGGGTGGCTTGTTTGGGCAGCATAATTGGTCCATCCTGGCTGACCCAGAAACCAACCAGAACAAAAACATAGCATTGAGACCTTGGTTTATTGGTCAGGAGGTGGGTGGAAAGGAAAGTTATCAGAGGCGAGAAAGGTAGTTGTTATGTATTTGGTAAGACTGTCCCAGATCGTGTATCCCTAAGGAAAGAGTTCAGAAAACACAAGGCCCCTCCTGCGTGGGTTGTTGTGGCTGCATTTATCAAAGCATTACAAGAACAGGGTGAGCTCGAAAGAACCAGCTGGTTTTGCCAGCCAGGAGGAAAGTTCTAGAAAGCCTGGAGAAATCTGGGGAGCTACAGAGTTCTCAGTTCTGCCTAGTAAATGATAACACTTAGAAGGCCTTTGAGCAGAAAAGGACAATTAAAGCTGAAATGAAAGGAACCCTCTTTAAGGGTACACTTTGATGAGATTCCATGAGGGTGGACCACACTGCAGGTAGGCAGTTGGTGGCTGCATCCAGCCTGGCCAGTGGGGCAGGAGGGGCTGCTGTGGGGTCAGTGGGTCCAGAAGAAAATGCCGGAAACTTCTCCCTCCATGGCTCACTGGGCGTTCTCTTTGCTTGGCCTGTGGCTCCCGTGGGTAAATTCATGTCTTGCTATGTGATGAAGAGATTTCTCCAGGGAAGAAGGGGAGGTGTTTGGCCCAGGAAGGACCCAGTGACCTGCAGATCAAAGACGGCCTCCCTACCTCAGTAATGGGCACCAGAGAAAAGCCTGCTGCCAGCCGTCCATTGGAAATGGGCCCAACAGAACCAATGCTGTCTGTGCTTGGGGTGTGGGGGGTAGAAGAGAAAGCAAAAGAAAACCGAAACCTTCCTTAATAATGAACAGATGACACGTGATAGTTAGCAAGATATAGGACACAGTTGTAACTCTCCGTGAAATCAACAAAGAGAAAATCGAGCATTGGATATTTCATGCATAATTTTTTGATAAAATCATAGGATTGCCTGCTGCAACATCCTTCATTTCACAGTTAACCATTACAGAATGATGCTGAAGGGAGTCACAGTGCAAAAACAACCGAGCTCCTTCTCATCCTTCACAAACGCCTCTCTTTGAGGTCAATCCACCCCGTTGGGAAGCCCCTATCTTTTCTCCTTGGCCAGCTTCTCTTTCAGGGTGAACTGCCTGATCTTCACTGCGGTGGCCTTGCCTGGCTCCCACCAGAGGTTCTCCAACGTCACTTTCATCGACATCACAGAATCCTACGTTTCTTTTTTTTGCAAGCATTGCAATTTTACTTACAATTTGCATTGTAAATGTGACTGTGGAAAATTTATTTAGGAGAGCTGGTTCTGCAAAAACATGGAAGAGATCTGGGAGGGGGTGTGTGGGAATAAGTGATATTGTTAAGTAAATGAGCTGCTTGAGTGGAGAACACTTTCAGAAGTGGTCAGCCTGGGCTGGGCATGGTGGCTCACTCCTGTAATCCAGTTCTTTGGGAGGTTAAGGAAGAAGGAACACTTTAGCTCAGGAGTTCAAGACCAGCCTGGGTGACATAGCAAGACCCCATCTCTACAGAAAAATAAAAAAAATTAGCTGGGCATGGTGGTGCACACCTGCAGTCCCAGCTAATGGGGAGGCTGAGGTGGAAGAATCTCTTGAGCCTGGGAGGTTGAGGCTGCAGTGAGCTATGATTGCACCACCACACTCCAGCCTGGGTGACAGAGTGAGACCCTGTCTCAAATAAATAAATAAATAAATAAATAAATAAAAGACATGGTCAGCTTGTTTACTTGTTTGTGATTCTTTTCTTTTTTTCTTTCTTCTTCCTCTTTTTTTTTTTTCAATAGAGGTAGAGTCTCACTGTGTTGCCCAGGCTGGTCTTGAACTCCTGGGCTCAAGGGATCCTCCTACCTCAGTCTCTCGAGTAGTTGGTGCTACAGGCATGCACCACTGCTGCTAATGAATATTTTCAGAACCTGATGGTTTCCTGCCCCCCACCCCCACCCCAGGAATCTTGGATAATGAGTGTAGGGAGACCCTGCATGGAGCCTAGAGATGCTGGCTGTGTGTGGAGTGGTCACCAAGGGAGCATCTTAGCAGGAATCTCTGGTCAGAGTGATCGGGGAACCAGACTCAGTCCTGAGACAAGCAGGGGACACCTTCAGCTCACGGACAGCAGACTGTGGAGCTGCTCAGCCTCTGTAATTACATAGTCCAATTCTTCAGAATCATCTACGTATCTATGTATCTATGTATCTATGTATCTATGTATCTATCTATCTATCTATCTATCTATCTATCTATCATCTATGTGCCTCCTTATCCATCTATGTTTTTGTTGTTGAGATGATCAAGTTGGTTCTAAAATTTCGTTGGAAAAGCAAAGGAATTGAAAAAAAGAAAGCAATCTTTAAAAAGAAGAATGAAGTTGAAGTCTCATAATACTTGTCTTCAAAATCTCCCATAATGTCACAGTGACGCTGTGTTTGCATTAGGAAGCAGCATACAGACCGCAGAGCAGGACACAGGAAAAAACTTGCCATAGTGTCAGCTGATTCTCATTAAAAACACCATGATTCCAGTGGGATAAGGATGGCTGGTTGGTTGGTTTATTTATTTATTTATTTATTTATTTATTTATTTATTTATTTTATTTTTGAGATGGAGTTTTGCTCTTGTTGCCCAGGCTGGAGTGCAATGGCATGATCTCGGCTCACTGAAACCTCCACTTCCCAGGTCCAAGCGATTCTCCTGCCTCAGCTTCCTGAGTAGCTGGGATTACAGGCATGTGCTATCATGCCCAGCTAATTTTGTATTTTTAGAAGAGACAGGGGCTTCTCCATGTTGGTCAGGCTGGTCTCGAACTCATGACCTCACGTGGCTTCCCAAAGTGCTGCTATTACAAGAGAACCACCTTTGTTTGTTTGTTTTGAGACGGAGTCTTGCTTTGTCGCCCAAGCTGGAGTGCAGTGCCACAATCTTGGCTCACTGCAACCTCTGCCTCCTGGGTTCAAGCGATCCTCTTGCCTCAGCCTTCTGAGTAGCTGGGATTACAGGTGTCCACCACCATGCCCAGCTAATTTTTGTATTTTTAGTAGAGATGGGGTTTCGCCACGTTGGCCAGGCTGATCTCGAACTCTTTACCTCACGTTATCTTCCCTCCTCGGCCTCCCAGAGTGCCTGGATTACAGGCATGAGCCACTGCGCCTGGCCACGATGGTCTTTTTATCAAATGCTGCTGAAACAATTGGATGAAAATGTGAAAAAATGGATCTCAACTCCTACCTCACATTACACACAAAAATTAGCTTGAGATCCATCATAGAACTAAATATAGAAACCAAAACTCTAATGCTTCTAGAGGAAAAGCTAGGAAAGAGAGTTTTCTTTTTTTTTTTTTTTGAGACGGAGTCTTACTCTGTCGCCCAGGCTGGAGTGCAGTGGCACGATCTCGGTTCACTGCAAGCTCCGCCTCCTGGGTTCACACCATTCTCCTGCCTCAGCCTCCTGAGTAGCTGGGACTGGAGGCCACCACGCCTGGGTAATTTTTTGTATTTTTAGTAGAGATGGGGTTTCACTGTGTTAATCAGGATGGTCTCGATCTCCTGACCTCGTGATCCGACCGCCTCAGCCTCCCAAAGTGCTGGGATTACAGGCGTGAGTCACCGTGCCCAGCAGAAAGAGAGTTTTCAAAAAGGTCACAAGAAAGCACTAACTGTCAAAGAAAAAAATGTTAAATTGCACTTCAAAATCAAAAACATTTCCCTATAAAAAGAAGTTCAGATAATAAGGCAAATCAAATACTGGAAAATTATGTATTATATTTTACACATACATATATATTATATATACACATATGTAGGGAAAAGAAAGAGAGATCAGACTGTGACTGTGTCTGTATAGAAAAGGAAGATATAAGAAACTCCATTTTGACCTGTACCCTGAACAATTGCTTTGCCCTGAGATGCTGTTAATCTGTAATTTTGCCCCAACCTTGAGCTCACAAAAACATGTGTTGTATGGAATCAAGGTTTTAGAGATCTAGAGCTGTGCAGGACGTGCCGTGTTAACAAAATGTTTACAGGCAGTATGCTTGGGAAAAGTCATCGCCATTCTCCAGTCTCAATAAACCAGGGGCACAATGCTCTGCGGAAAGCTGCAGGGACCTCTGCCCTGGAAAGCTGGGTGTTGGCCAATATTGTCCACGTGATAGCCTGAGATACGGCCTCATGGGATGGGAAAGACCTGACTGTCCCCCAGCCCGACACCCGTGAAGAGTCTGTGCTGAGGAGGATTAGTAAAAGAGAAAGGCCTCTTGCAGTTGAGATAGAGGAAGGCCTCTGTCTCCTGCCTGCCTCTGGGAACTGAATGTCTCAGTATAAAACCCGATTGTACATTTGTTCTATTCTGAGATAGGAGAAAACCCCCCCTGAGGCGAGACATGTTGGCAACAATGCTGCTCTGTTATTCTTTACTCCACTGAGATGTTTGGGTGGAGAGAAGCATAAATCTGGTCTACGTGCACATCCAGGCATAGTACCTTCCCTTGAACTTACTTGCAGCACAGATTCCTTTGCTCACATGTTTTCTTGCTGACCTTCTCCCCATGATCACCCTGCTCTCCTGCCGCATTCCTCTTGCTGAGATAGTGAGAATAGTAATCAATAAATACTGAGGGAACTCAGAGACCGGTGCCGGTGCAGGTCCTCCATATGCTGAGCGCCGGTCCCCTGGGCCCACTGTTCTTTCTCTATACTTTGTCTCTGTCTTATTTCTTTTCTCAGTGTCTCATCTCACCTGACGAGAAATACCCACAGGTGTGGAGGGGCTGGCCCCCTTCACACATATATACATGTATATAAAACACATGTGTAAATATATATACATACATATGGCAAAGCATTTCATTCATATATTCTTGATATCGAATTTATGAAGAGTTCCAATAAGTCAATAACAAAAAGAACAAAAAAAAAAAACCTACGATAAAATGGGCAAACAATTTTAACAAGACCTTTTAACAAGAAAGATGTGAAAATGGCCAGTGCAAGAAAGGATCCTTGCGAACATTAGTCATCAGAGAAACACAGGTCAAAATCCACACGAGATGCGATTGTACCCCATGCGATGCCTCACGTTTGAAAAGCCGCCGGGCGGTACTGACAGGCCTGGTGCAGCTGACAGTCCCAGGCACCGCTGGGGAGGGGAAAGCAGCACGAGCGTTTGGACAGCTGTCCGTTTCTTAGCAAGTTAAACATACACTACTCTATGGTCTAGCAAGGCCAGTGCTCAATATTTAACCAAAAGATTAAAACTAAAAACATGAGTACGGAAGGACTGGAAGGCATGTTTATGTGTCATTCATCATAGCCCCAAACTGCGAACAATTCAAATATCTATGAACATGAGAATGGGGGAACGCAGTCGAGAGTATTTTTACACGAAACACTACGCAGTGATTAAAAAAGAAGAATAAGACTAGGCATAGTGGTTCATGCCTGTAATCCCGGCACATTGGGAGGCTGAGGCAGGTGGATCGCCTGAGCCCAGGAGGTCAAGGCTGCAGTGAGCCATGAGGGCACCACTCTGCACTCCAGCCTGGGTGACAGAGCAAGACCTTGTTTCAACAAAAAAAAAAAAAAGAAGAAGAAGAAGAAGAAGAGCAAATCATTGACACACAGAATAACATCGTGAGGGAAAGAAACCAGAGTACATTTTTAATGATTTCATTTCTGCGACATTCAACAGCGGGCAGAACCGGTCAGCAGAGCTGTGCCTGTAGTGATGGGTGGGAAGGGAAGGCCGTGAAAGTGAACCTCTGGGGGTGGAGCAGTTGGTCATGGTTGGGGTGATGGGCACACAAGTACGTGTTTAGCGGAACTCACGGAACTGCACACTCAAAATACGTGCAGAGCCCAGGAGGCCAAGGCTGCAGTGAGCCAGGATCTCACCACTGCCCTCCAGTCTGGGTGACAGAATGAGACACTGTCTCAAAAAAAAAAAAAAAAAAAAATGCAGTGCAGGCGCGGTGGCTCAGGCCTGTAATCCCAACACTTTGGGAGGCCGGGGCAGGGGGATCACTTGAGGTCAGGTGTTCGAGACCAGCCTGGCCAACATGGTGAAATGCCATTTCTACTAAAAATACAAAAATTAGTTAGACATGGTGGCACACACCTGTAATCCCAGCTACTCAGGAGGCTGAGGCAGGAGAATCGCTTGAACTTGGGAGGCAGAGGTTGCAGTGAGCTGAGATTATGCTGCTGCACTCCAGCCTGGACAACAGAGTGAAACTCAGTCTCAAAAAAAAAAAAAAAAAAAAAAAGCATTTCACTGCATGTAAATTTTACCTCAATACAAAATTAAAAGTAATCTTTTGGAAAATAAAAGTGCATTAGAGAGGGTGGCTAGTCAAAATTTTTGTAGCCTTCAAGGAGAGTAAATTTGAAGCATATCTGTCGATTTGTGGAATTTTTACAAAGACTTAATTGAGGAAAACTCGAAAGCATTAGGAAGGGTCTTGTTCCTCTGTTCCCTCTGTGAGCCCAGCTTCCCTGAAGGGAACGTGGGTCTAATCTGTGTCATTAGGAGTGAGCTGATTACAGGAGGAAGAGGTAAGAAAGACAAAGGAGAACCAGGGCCACACTAAAATCCACGCTCTTCGACACTTTGTTTTACAAATTTGACAAAATATTTATACTGGAAGTTTTTAAGTGATGGAACCTATAGACAGCCTTTTCTTTCAGCTTATTTTTTTAATTTTAATTTTATTTTATTTTATTTTATTTTATTCTTTACAAAATGACCACCGTTGACATAAACACCAATGCCAGGGGGTGGAGGGTCTGCATCAGTGAGGAGAGCTCTGAGCGCCAAGGACAATGGTCCACCCACCAGCCAAGCCACCACTGCCTCCCAGACTCCTAGGACACCCGCTGGAGAGGGAGCCCAGTGTCTTCTAACAAAGGGAAACGCCTATGAGGAAGAGGCCAAATTTAGAAACCAAGGAAAGTAGAGCTTGGCTTGAGCTGATGGCGGCTCATAGGACGGTGAAGAGATTAAAAATAACACTTGTGCATGTGAAACAGCAGAAACAACAACAGTATTCATGTGATCAGTATAAACACCTGGGCAGGAATATAAAGAGCCGGGGCTCAGGGAGCTCCACACCTGCACCTGCCACCTGCTTCTCACCTGCTCCTCTACCTGCTCCACCCTCAATCCACCAGAACCATGGGCTGCTGTGGCTGCTCCGGAGGCTGTGGCTCTGGCTGTGGGGGCTGTGGCTCCGGCTGTGGGGGTTGTGGCTCCAGCTGCAGGGGCTGTGGTTCCAGGTGCTGTGTGCCCGTCTGCTGCTGCAAGCCCGTGTGTTGCTGTGTGCCAGCCTGTTCCTGCTCCTGTTGTGGCTCCTGTGGGGGCTCCAAGGGGGGCTGTGGCTCTTGTGGGAGCTGCAAAGGGGGCTGTGGCTCCTGTGGGGGCTCCAAGGGGGGCTGTGGCTCCTGTGGGGGCTCCAAGGGGGGCTGTACCTCCTGTGGGGGCTCCAAGGGGAGCTGTGGCTCCAACTGTGGGGGCTGTGGCCCCAGCCGCTGTGTGCCCTTCTGCTGCTGCTCTAGCTGTGGCTCTTGTGGGGGCTCCAAGGGGGGCTGTGGCTCTTGTGGGGGCTCCAAGGGGGGCTGTGGCTCTTGTGGGGGCTCCAAGGGGGGCTGTGGTTCCTGTGGGGGCTCCAAGGGGGGCTGTGGCTCTTGTGGCTGCTCCCAGTGCAGTTGCTGTAAGCCCTGCTGCTGCTACTCTGGCTGTGGGTCATCCTGCTGCCAGTCCAGCTGCTGTAAGCCCTGCTGTTCCCAGTCCAGCTGCTGCAAGCCCTGCTGCTCCTCCTCAGGCTGTGGGTCATCCTGCTGCCAGTCCAGCTGTTGCAAACCCTGCTGTTCCCAGTCCAGCTGCTGTGTCCCCGTGTGCTACCAGTGCAAGATCTGAGGCTCTGCCCACAAACCTCAGCTGGTCCTACAGATCTGGGCTCTCCAGGAATGACTGCAGCTGTGGCCTGAATTCCTGAAGCATGTCTCTGAGCCTGTCCTCCTCTGGACTAAGGCAGCCTAGTGTTCAGGGCTCAGTACTCAGCCGCTCAGCCTCTGAGGTCATGAGGGCTTCCGGCATGCTGGGTCCTGCCATCAATTCTCCCGGAATCCCCTTTTCCTTTCCTGACCTCACCACTTCAACCTTCTCAGGACGTCAAGATCCCACATCCCTGGGCCCCTCCTGTGAGCCTGCTGGAAACACGCTGAAACTGGAATCCTCTGACCTGCTGCGACCTCTCCCGGGTCCCTGCAACCTCCTGTCTCCTCCACCCTTCGTCTTCATCCTGCCTGAGCTGCCAGAGCTCCGATTGCTTTTGGAGTTGATCTGGAGGACTCAGAATTATTAGAGATCCCAAGATCCTCTCCTGAGGAGGAGGGGTGCCCAGTCTCCTCTTCTACCTCCGACCTGGCCTGGTTTCTTTGCCCCAGGGCTTCGCCTTTAAGTACCTAGGCTGGATCTTCTAAATAAATACGATCCGTACCTCTCACGAGTTTGTGTTGTGATTCTTTTGTTTCAGCCTCTGTGTGATTAGAGAAATATACAATTTTCACTGAGTTGCACTCCCAGGCATTTGGGAACCCCCTGTTCCCCGCTATGTGAGTTTGCTAGGGCTGCCCCACAAACCATGTGGCTTGAGCAACAGAAGTGGATTGTCTCACAGTCTGGAGGCCAGAATCTGCCATCGAGGTGCCGCAGGGCCGGGTCCTCCTGAGGCCTCTCTCCATGGCTTACAGATGCTGCCATCCCTGTACCCTCACGTGCTCGTCCCTCTGTGTGTGTCTGCATCCTTATCTCTTTGTATAAGGACACAGATTAGATTAGGGCCCACCCTAATCCATGAGGTCCACGTTTTAACTAATCACCCTGTAAAGAGCTATCTCCAAATAAGGTCCCATTCTGAGATACTGCAGTGAGGACTCCAACGTATGAACCAGGGGGCATAACTCAGCCATGGCATCCACTTGGGTGGGGGCCTCACCATCTTTCCTGTCTTCCAGAACACAGAATTGGGAGGCCCCTTGGGCTTCTTTCTCCCACAAGTCGCCAAATCCCACAGCATCTCCTGGAAGACATCCTACAGACATCTCCTTCCTGCCTCCTTGTGACACTTCCCTATGCAGACCTCTGCTTCAGGCACCCACCTGTCCCTTCCCTGCTGCCTCTGTCAGCTCTGGCTGCCAGAATGAAACCCACAAAGTAAGCCTGGAGGACTGAACCACAGACACCATTTCTCCCAGTTCCGGAGGCTGGAGGGCCCCGGCCAAAGTCCAGCAGGTTTGACTCATGGGGAGGGAAGGCAGGAGCCGGCGGAGGAGGAGGTGGGCTGCAAGGCTGGAGCCCCCAGACCCAGGCGTCTGTAACAGCAGAGCACTGGAGGCTGCTTGGGAAGCCAGTGTCTTATAGGATGGCAGACAATGAGTGCCTGACGAAACTGTGACAAGAAAGTGAAAACTCAACAACACAGAAGTTTTAGAAATTGCTTCTGAGTTTCTGTTTTAGTAAGTAATGTTGACTTAATTAACAAGTCAACATTAATTCACAACCCTGGAACTTCTAAAAGGACATGGTGAAACCCCATCTCTGCTAAAAATACAAAAATGAGCCAGGCATGGTGGTGGGCGCCTGTATCCCAGCTACTCAGGAGGCTGAGGAAAGAGAATTGCTTGAACCTGGGAGACAGAGGCTGCAGTGAGCATAGATTGCACCACTGCACTCCAACTTGGGCAACAGAATGAGATTCTGTCTCTAAATAAATAAATAAATAAATAAATAAATAAAACTTAAAGTGCTGTATTTAAAACATGTATATTTTTAAGTCAATGAGCTGTTCAAAAAATAAATAATCCTCAGAACCAACAAGCAAGAGAGAGATGAACCCACAGAAGAAGGTGAAAGACAAAAATGGTCTCCACCCCTTGCCTGGACCAGAAAGAGGCCCTCTCTGTTTTCTTCCACCTGTGGTATCGCTTCTGTTGTCAGTATGAATCTGAGAAAAACGTAGTTTCTCTACACTCACACATAGAACACTCTCATTCCTGATGTGCGAGTTTTCCCCACACCACTCAATTGTCTGCTTCCTTCCACACCAACTGATTCTCTGATACTGTCCTGCGATTCACTCCCATCCTGAAACAGAGTTCATTTCAGATCCCACAGGCAAAGGGCTGAGTCCCACAAGACTGTCCTCATTTGAGATGTTGACATGGTTTGGCTGTGTCCCCACCCAAATCTCATCTTGAACAGTAGCTCCCACAATTCCCCCGTGTTGTGGGAGGGACCCGGTGGGAGGTAATTGAATCATGGGGGTGGATGTTTCCTGTGCTGTTCTTGTGATAGTGAATAAGTCTCATGAGATCTGATGGTTTTATGAAGGGGAGTTTCCCTGCACAGGTTCTCTTCTCTTGTCTGCCGCCATGTGAGATGTGCCTTTCACCTTCCACCATGATTGTGAGGCCTCCCCAGTAGAACTGTGAGTCCATTAAACCTCTTCATTTTGTAAATTGCCCAGTCTCAGGTATGTCTTTATCGGCAGTGTGAAAACAGATTAACACAGATGCCAATCACTAGTCCAGGTCTCTGGAGCTTCTAACCAACGGGCTATAAATCAGGGTTCACACTGATACCTAAAATGAGTGGCTGAGGCAAAGCTCTCTATCCACCAGGGTTTACTAAGCCTGCTTTAAGGCGCACCTGGGAAAAATGCAAGACACAGGCACATCTGTGGCTGTTTTCCCAAAGAGGTTTTTGGGAAGTTTGGTATTTATACATTTCCTTAAAGGGAAGCAGGCAGGTAGGAAGAGGCAGGTAAGCATTAGGCCAATGGTTGCATTCCTGTGAGACTTTAGTTAGTGCCCAGTAAGTCTGCATTTTACATGAGGTAAGGTGGGCGTTTGAGGAGAAAGGGGACTAAAGGAAGAGCCAGTTGTGCAGACCTCTCCGGGTAGGTGGAGGAGGGACTGGTATCATCTTGTTTTTGTTCTGCTCCTGGGAAGATAAACTCATAATCTATACGATCGGTGTGGAATGGAAGACTTTCGTTTTAGGAGCTGGACGTGGATTGCAGGCCTGAAGTCACAACGGGCACGTCCTTGTTGATGGCAGGACACACGTCTTGAGAAGTTTTGCAAACAGTACGGTGCATATTTATGAGTGATTTGCGGGGGCAGTGTCCTGAACGCCTGAGGCCTTTGCCGTTTCCTGGGCCTGGAGAGCGAAACACACAGGCTGTGGAGGAACAGGGCTGCTTTTGCGAGAGGGCGGTGCCACTCAGCCTCCGGGCTTAACTTTCCCTTTGGCCTAAGGAGCTTGGGGGTCCTGAGATTTTTATTTTCCTTGACTCAACACCACCCTCCCTGGGTTTGATAATCTGCTAGAACAGCACCCAGAACTCAGAGAAACACTTGCTTATGTTTACTGGTTTATTATAGAGGATGAGATCAAGGACACAGGTGAACCCCCAGGTGAAGAGGCATCTAGGGTGAGGTCCAGGACGATCCTGAGTGTGGGAGCTTTGTCCCATGGAGCCGGGACAAAGTGGGACAAAGTCTTGCCCACTCTAGCCTGGGCAACACGGCCAGACCCTATCTCAAAAAAAAAAATAATAATTACAAAATACTCATACTTATGAAAGGGAGTTCTTGGGCCTGATCAAGGAGGCTCAGCATCAGATTAATGGGAATTACAGAAGGATAAAAACTGGAAAATGAAAGAGAGGAGAGTATCAAAGAAATTATGTAAGAAAAAAAGCCCCAGTGGCAAAGGTTGCGAGCCTCCACACGAGAGGGGCTGCAGTGCAATCGCTGAAAGTGAATGGAATGAGCCTCCGTCGTGAGATATCTACACATCAGGAGTGAAGAGAGGGCCCCAAGCTTCCAGACAGAGAACACAGGCCCCACACGACAGGAGGCTGGGAAGAATTTCTGTTGGATTTCACAACAGCAGCGCTGGATGCTAGAACGGGACATGGTTTTCAGTCTCCCAGTTTAAGTCCCTGCAAAGACGGAAAGGATAGAGTAATGCATGCAAGAACTTGGCTGTACCTTTCCAGGCTCACTTAGGAAGCTACGTGGGGTGGGGTCCAAGGTGGGGGGTTTCTCTGTCAACTAAAGGCATAAACCAAGAAGGAAGAAGGCCCAGCCTCTAAGAAGGAGGGGGCTCAGCCCAGGAGAGGCGAGGACCGAGACCTGGGTTGACAGCTCTGTGTGGTCCAATCAGATCCGCCCAGTTTGGATCAGGAGGACAGGGGCTCTGGAAAAAAGAGGTCCCAAGAAAACAGGCTGTTCAGGGACAGATTCGTCACCCAGGAGCTCCTGAAGAAGCAGATTGGCTAAACCTCCCCTCCACGCCACCTCTCACCTGAGCCCTGTGATCACTGTGCATAGGGCCAGACAGAAGTCTTAGTGCCTCCTGGCAGAGATGAGACAGTGAAACCCTGGGAGAATCAAGGCTCATGGAGAACAAATGATAAAAGTGAAAAAACAAAGCCAACCTAGGCTTCCGAAGAAGGCAGCTGAGTCAGAAGGAACTGTCACCCGCATGGGCAGCGTGGCTCCACAGAGAACAATGTTCACATAAACATTCCAACAATGGAAAGAGTGGTTTCACAAAACACACACAGGGAGCGTATTTGGAGGACACGAAAGACAGGTGCAGGAGACGTGAGTCCTCGTACATCACAACAGAAAGTAAACACCTACGCTCTCAAAATGGTACGCCAAGAGCCGGTGGGACCAGCACCTACGGAGAGCCTGGCCAGTAACAGCAGAAGGTGCATTGTTACACACATGCCCATCCCCTACATGAGGCTGGGCTGAGCAAGGCGAAGCTATTAAAAGCCTCTTGGCATTATTTGACTTTTTAAATATACACACAAAACATTTGGTGAAATTTGTTTAAATGATATGCGAATAAAGTGTTGAGAGACTGAATGTTCAACCGACAGTTCCCGATGCAGGTGGCACCACTGACCCCCTGCCAGAGCCAGCTCCGCGTAAACAGCCTCCAAGCGTTCCTGTTCGGGTAGCCTTCATTCATTTCCACATTGTGAACTGATCATGCTACAAGGAACACATTGAATGACACATACGTGTTCCCAGGCACACAGGCGTCATCATCAGCAAACCGGTGTTCTCTAAGATGGAAGAACAAGAGGTGCAGGTCTAGAGCTCGGAAGGAACACGCAGAAACCAGAAGCAGTGGGGGCTGGCGCTGGGACCCTCACAGCCCTTTCCTCTGTGCCAGCACAGCGGCCGCCTATCCAGGGAGTGAGCGGCGTGTTCGATCCTGGAAGCAGGCAGCAGAGTTCTGGGGCCCAGAAGTGAACTTTCCGTCTTCCGAGAGTGAAAGAAGGGAGAAGCGCTGTTCCTTATGCACTCTCTTGGGGTTCCCACTCCAGTTTCAGCCTGAGCCCCCCTCGCCCTTCAGAACTCCCCTCACCCTACACCTTGCTCAGGCCCAAGACCGTGCCCTCAGGGCTCCCTGCTGGACAGAGCTGGGTCCTCCTGAGCAGGAGCTGGCTTCCTCTTGCCAGACTCCCATTTCCTACACTTCCTCCTCCCCCAGTGCTTCCAAGCCAGGATGCACCTGGAACCAGGCCACAGAGGCCCTGAGACAGCCCCAAGGGCCTCACTCGGAGAGGTCCTGCCCTCCCTGCCCCAGGCCGCTCTGGCCCCTCACTCAGGCACTTCCATTCTCTGTCCTCTCAAGACCTCGCTGGGCCTGAGGCCCACTAGCAAACACCTCTCCCAAAAGCCTGTGCTTTCTGCAGCCCTACCCCACAGGCCCTGTCTGGCCAATGTCTGATCACCATCACCTGGAGATCTGCCCTGTGCAGAACCAGTAATGCCCCGGGACCCTCGAGGGCCAGGCTCCCACTGCCCGGCTGACTTCATCTCAGCGCCGATCCACAAGAGGGGACCTGGGGCCCTGGAAGGATAGATCGTGGCTTCGCACCCACTTCCAGGCTCCTGTCCGGCCCACAGCCCTGCAAGAGGCAGCCCCAAGTGTCCCCTGACTCCACCTCCAGGCCACGCCATCTGATGGCACCAGAGTCTGACCCTGCCCAGCTAGGAGGCGGTTGTCAGGCAGGAGAGGCCAGGATTGAAAACCACAGTTGAATGGTTAGAAGCGCATTGTTTTCTTCACTACAACATCTTGAGCTTCCTGGCTGTCAGGGCAAAGGGGCTAACACACTGGCTGCAAAATGTTCACTGTGTGAGAGAGACCAGAGCACTCTGGGAGCTGCTGGCAGGAAGACCTTCAGTGTGGCTCAAGATTCTGGATGAACCTAGGGTGACTGTTTCATATGTGAAACTGACAACATCCCCGTGCTGATGGCAGCTGCTGACCCAAACCTCCCGGTCTCCGCTGACTCATGCAGACACCTGCACGGCTCCTGCCTAGACACCGGAGTGGCTGCCCTGGGTGTGGGTAGGGCACAGCCTGCAGGCCGCGCTGCCTGTCCTTGAAAAGTGGGTGTTCCCACCTCTCAGGACTGTGGAAGTGTGAGGGGTGAGGGATCCTGGCATGTGCTGCCTGCCTCAGTCTGCAGCAACTGTCACCGCTGGATGTCACGGCAGTCCTCACAGGGAGGCAGCTACCCTGGCTGAGAGCGTGAACCAGATGCAGAGACCACGGGCAATCTCCACAAACGCTCTCTGTGGCCTGTGCGGCAGCCGGGATGCCATCTCCAGGCCAGCTAAGCCCGCACTTCCCGAGTTATCCAAGTCAGGATGAAAGCTCTCCTCTGAGAAGGCTCCAGTGGGGAAAAGCGAACAGGCTGGTCCTCTTGGATTCTGGGTCCAGGGTTGGTCTATCCAGGGGCAGCGTTGTGGGATGGAGATTGCCGTGGCATTGGCCATGCCCCTGAGATGGAATTCCCGATGATGGGATCCTGCCAGGCCACGAGCTGATGCTTCAGAGCAATTAAGTGCAAGTTGGTGTCTGTGTGAACATGAACTTCAAAGGCCAGGATTGGGGACGATGAACAGGAGGGGAGGAGGCAGATGCCTTGTGGCGCCACCTACAGCTCGGCTGGGGACCTCCTACACTTGTGCACTTGTGGTGCATGAAATCAACCCCATGGAGGCATTTCTGCCTGGAGATCGTCCACCCAGAACCCAAGTGAATGGGAGTGGAGAGCAGGCCCCGTCACGCAGGCAACGTGACCTCACTGGGTGGACCTCTGTGGACACCCCAGGAAAGCCCCCACTTCTCACGTTCTTCTGAGGAAACCTGTTTGTTTTAGTTCTACAGGCGTGTTCTCAGGTCAGGAAGAGTCTTGCAATTTAGACAGCGCTGGGTGGCTGAGGCGGACCTGCCCCAGTGCCATCTTCACACACGAACACCTGCATCACCCACCTGGGCAGCTACAGCCCATGGGCCGGGTCCAGCCCCACCTGCTTTTGTTCCTAAAGTTTCTCTGAAGCGCAGCTGCGGTGGGCGGTTCTGCATCTGTGCCTGCCTTGGTCACTGGGGCAGAGTCAAGCAGTCGTCACAGTGACTGCATGGCCCAAAATATTAACCCCCAGCCTTGAACGGAAAGAGTTAGTCAGGGTGGGTGTGGCGCCTCACGCCTGTAATGGCAGCACTGTGGGAAGCCAAGGCGGGCAGATCCCATGAGGTCAGGAGTTTGAGACCAGCCTGGGCAACATGGTAAAATCCCATCTCTACTAAAAATACAAAAATTAGCCAGGCGTGGTGGCACACGCCTGGAATCCCAGCCACTCAGAAGGCTGAGGTAGGAGAATCGCTTGAACCCAGGAGGCAGAGGTTGCAGTGAGCTGAGTTCTCACCATTGCACTCCAGCCTGGGTGGCAGAGTGAGGCTCTGTCTCAAACAAAAACAAACAAACAACAAAAACAAAAAACAAACAAAAACCGAGAAAGAGTTAGTCAGTTCCTGCCCTGAACAGTGGGGAAAGCACCGCCACTCACTGCTTTATCTCCACTCAGCTACGGCCCCACTTCCCCGCTGGGGGTTTATGGCCTCCTGCTGGACCATGATCTAGAAAACAAACTCCCTTTTGTTTCTGGGCTCCCAGAGGCCCAGCATGGACCTTTACGCTGGCATCAGGACCATCAATGTGAGGGAAGCTGAGGGACCTGTCCCCTGAGGCCTCCCTTTTGGAAATAAGGGCTCTCGTGGGACCGGAGCAGGATTGCGGGCAGGAGGAGAGGTTGGGGTGCCGAGGGAGTGTGGAGCCTGCACTGTAACTAGCCTCTCCCCGCAGAGCTTGCACAGAACATCGTCTGACTGTCACAGACCGTGGGGTACCAGCAGACCCACAAAATCCCCAAAGTTTCTAACCCCTAGCAAGTGCCTGCCCCCTCTCGCCCAACACCCCCAAGGGGCAGTGGCTTCTGCAGGGAGGCCAGTTGGGACCCAAAGCTCTGTTCACAAGGGACCCACCTTGTCGTACAGGGACGGGCACCCAGGGTGACTCCAGGGCGTCTTGTGTTTGGCTGACTGATGCCCTCCTGGCCCCCAAATCCAGGCTCCTGGGTCCTGTGGATGTGAGGGGCCTTGGCAAATGTGATTGTGTCTAGGATCCTGAGATGGGAAGGATATCCTAGACTCCAGGACGGGCCCTGAGTGTGACCTCAGTGTCCTGGTAAGAGGGAAGCCGGAGGAACCTGACTGCAGGAGAAGAGAGGCCTGGAGCACAGGGGACGGCCCTGTGGCTGGGGAGGCAGAAGCTGGGCCATGCGTCCACAGCTAAGGAACAGCCAGAGGACACCCGGAGCCCGGAAGCTGGAAGAGGCAGGAAGGAGCCTCCCGAGAGCCTTTGGCGGGAGCACAGCCTGCAGACACCCAGGTGTGGGTCCTCCGTAACTGTGAGAGAACAAATTCCTGTTGTCTGAGCCCCCAGTTTGTGGTCATTTGTCACTGGAGCTCCTGGACAAGGACATAGGCTTCACCCCTGCCTCTGGCTCCCTCTTTTTCTGACATCCTGCGAAGGTCTCTCTCAACAGTGTGGGAAAAGTAACCCAGCCAGCTCTGCCTTTCTGATCAGGTGTGTCGGGCCCCTCCCAGCCCCATCACCCTGCACATGTGTGGCCTCGGGTTTGATGCAGCCTCAGGCGTGAGGCCCTGAAAGCAGCTGCTGGCAGCTGCCCAGTTGGGGAGCCCCCCAGGAGGGAGGAGTTGATCCCAGCCTCCTGCCCTAAGAGCTGTGAAAGCTATGAGGTCCTGCGTGCCCCTCCTGGCCAAGCTCTCCGGGTCTCTTGGTGGCTGTTCAGAGGCATTCCCCTGATGGCCAGGAGTCATGTGGGGACAACCACTGGGGAAGGGGATGTGCGGCAGGTCCAGCGGGCGCCTGGGGGCCCTAGTCAGTCCCTTCCATGATACATGGGTGTGGCATGCGCCAGTCAGATTAGAGATGCAGAGCCGGAATTAAAACTGCAAAACACGGCAAACAGAACGTGATTGTTTCTAGTTTCAAGAAAGCAAACAAAATCTCCCTGGGGAAATGGCACAAACAGGAACCAGGAAGTGACCATGTGCCCAGCTTCACACCTCACCCTGGGCAGGGATATAAAGGGCCCAGGCTCAGGGGCCTCCACATCTGCACCTGCCTCTCACCTGCTCCTCTACCTGCTCCATTCTCAGCACACCAGAACCATGGGCTGCTGTGGCTGCTCTGGAGGCTGTGGCTCCGGCTGTGGGGGCTGTGGCTCCAGCTGCTGTGTGCCCGTCTGCTGCTGCAAGCCCGTGTGCTGCTGTGTGCCAGCCTGTTCCTGCTCCAGCTGTGGCTCTTGTGGGGGATCCAAGGGGGGCTGTGGCTCCTGTAGCTGCTGCCAGTCCAGTTGCTGTAAGCCCTGCTGCTGTTCTTCAGGCTGTGGGTCATCCTGCTGCCAGTCCAGCTGCTGCAAGCCCTGCTGCTCCCAGTCCAGCTGCTGCATCCCTGTGTGCTGCCAGTGTAAGATTTGATGCTTGGCCCCAGGTGTCAGGTGAAGGCCGTCCTGTATCCCAGACCTGTGATGCAGTTTTTAGCTGTGTCTCTCTGAAATATGACAGTCCCTGGAATCAGAAACAGAGCTCCGCTGGTCATGCCACGTCTTTGCCTTGAAAATCCACTCACCCTGTGCTCCACATCATCACCCCACTGGGAATCCTGGGGTGAGCCGTTTCCTCTGCTGCCCATCACAAAGCTCACTCTACTTGCTGGGGCCAAACCGCCCTGCCCTTCCCTTCTTCCTTGGAGATCTTCCCTCCCCTGCCCTCCACCCTGGCCAGTGCTGGAGCTCAGGGAGGCCCAGGAGGCGGCAGACACTCGGCCATGCCCAGATCTGTGGCCTCTCCTGTGGACCTCACCCTCCCACTGAAAAGCTCTTTGTTATTCATTATCTGCTAAAGTCCAGCTGGACGCTTAGTCCTCTAAATAAACACCGCCCCTCTCCACCAGTCTGCGTCTCCTTGAGTTCTTTCTGTGCCATGTCTTTCTACAGAGCCCAGCTTCTTTCTAAGCATGGGCTCCTTTTGTGTCAGCAGTGGGTGTTGGGCCCTCCTAGATAGAGTTGGGATCTGGAATTGCCACAGTTCCCCAAGGGTCTGTGTGTACCCCAGTACCCACCGGGGTGAGAGGTTTCTTGTGAGAAAGATCTGGGACCACCTGGGATGTCTGCTCTTCTCCAGGGAGGTCCCAGGACCCTGAGAAGGTTTTCTCTGCAGGGGATGCTCTGTGTGATCAGCATGGGGCTGGAGTGGTCCCCCCAGGAGCACTTTGTCCTCTCGAACCAGCTGCCCCAGGGGAGACCGGGGCTTGTGTGAACCAAAGGCTCAGTTCAGGATGGTGCCTCAAACTCAGTCCCACCTGGTAGCTCAGGCAGCAATGCTGTGAGACACCAGTAACAGACCCATGCCTCAGGGTGACCTGGCGGGGTCTGGCAATGGGCTGGAGTGCACCCTGTGATGGTGACCCCATGCCACCCCGACCAGGCTGCGGTGCCCAGCTGTTCTGCCCAACAGTCACCGCGGTGTTGCTGGTAAGGTATTTTGTTAATGAGAGTAACATTCAATTTCAGTAAAGCACTTTGCTCTCCATGATGTACAGGACCTCATCCAAGCATCTGACAACCGGGTAGCTGCAGAAAGCAGCACGAGTTCCATGGAATAGGATCCCACGGCCACAAAGTGAGGGGCTTAAAGCTATACAGATAGAGTCTTTCACTGTTCTGAAGGCCAGAAGTCAGAAATGCGGGTGTCGGGAGGGCTGCACTCTCTCCAGAGGCTCCAGGGCAGGGCCCTCCTGTCTTTTCCGGCTTCTGGGGGCTCCAGGTGTCCTGGGGCATGTGACCTATAAACCAAAGAGTATATAGGACAGGGCTCAGTCAATTTAGAAAGCTTATTTTGCCAGGGTTAAGGATGCACCCATGACACAGCCTCAGGAGGTCCTCATGATATATGCCCAAGGTGGTTGGGACATAGCTTTGCTTTCATGCATTTTAGGGAGACATGAGGCATCAATCAATACATGTAAGATGTGCACTGGTTTGGCTTGGAAAGGTGGGACAAGTCGGGTGGGGAGGGGGCTTCCAGGCCACAGGTAGATAAGAGACAAACTTGCATTCTTTTGAGTTTCTGATTAGCCTTTCCCTGAATACAGTTTACAGGAATAGTCACTCATGCCTTAGTCTGACTTAGTGAAACAATAGGGCAAAAGAAGCCATCGGATATGCATTTGTCTCACGGGAGCCAAGGGAGGACTTTGACTGCCTGTCCTTTGTCCACAGGGAGTTTCTTTGTGGGCAAATAGTGAGGGAGAGATGTAGCTTTTTCATATTTGCAGTGATCTTATTTAGGAGTAGAATGGGAGGCGGGTTTGTCCTATGTGGTTCCCAGCTTGATGTTTCCCTTTGGC